GGGAGTGTTCCGCCCTCGTGGGGGGGGGGGGAGTTGCGCGCCATCTTGCCCGCGGCGTCCTTGGCGAAGGAGGCGAGGTAGACGGCCATGCAGACGAGCCAGTTGCAGAGCACGCCTGCTCACGCCGAGGCGGCGTCAAGTCGCGCCGTCCGCGGGCAGCAGGAGCAGGGCAGCTCGGGGTCGGCCCTTGAGGAGGGTGGGGAGGAAGGCGCCCGACGTCTTCGCCACGGCCACCTTGGCGGCCGCAGCGCCCCCGCCCGCGAGGACGCCCGCTATGCGGCAGGGGAGGGGGAGGGAGGGGCGGGGTCCGGCTCAGAGGGGAGACGGCGGCGGCGGCGCGCGAGGTCGAGGCGCGCGAGGCGCGCGGGGGACAGGCGGAGGCCGCAGGAGGCCGATTCGCTCGCCGCTCGCGCCCTCCGTTCAAGGCGGCGGCGGCGGCGGCGGTGGCGCGCACCCGCCGAGACGAGACCGGCGAGCAGCAGCGAGCCGGCGAGGTTTCCGGCGTAGCTGGAGACCCACGACTTGACGAGGCCGGCGGTGGTGGCCTTGCCCTCGATAAGCGCCATCGTCACAAGCGCCGTGTTGCCCGTGAAGAGCTCCGCGCCCGAGAGCAGCGTCATCATCAGCCCGAAAGGGAGGCCGAATGCGCCCAGCACCAGCTTATGGAGGCCCGGGTTGGACTCGGCGAGCCCGGGGCAGGCACCGCCGACGGTGAGCATCAGCAGCGCGCCAAAGCCGATGTGCACGCCCGAGAAGACGCCCAGCCGGAACACCTTGTCTGCAGGCATCGCGGCCTTTTTGCTCCCGGCTGCGACTGCGCCGTCAAAGCCGTCGGGTGGAGTGGCCAGGACGTTGCCGCCGCGAAGGCGCTGGAGGCGCGTGAGCGCGGCGGGCTGCGGCACCACTGTGCGCGCGCCGGAAGTCGCGGCGGCGGCGGCGATGAGGAGCGCGCGGAGCGACGACATCAAAGCTCGGTGTTGACCTCGGCTCTAAGTGGGGAAACGGTACCGTGTCAGAATTTGGCATACCCGGTATTGACGCTATTCTGACTCGCGAAAGAAATCGGACTGCCTTGCCGAATTTGTAACAAGCGCTGCGCCGGCGCCGCGCCACAGCTTGCCGAGCGCCGGCCACAGGCCTGCCTGCAGCCCAGCCACACCCGCCGCGGCGGCAGCTAGTCGGTTCGGCCTTGACTCGCGCGCGCCGAGATGGGAGCCCAAGTATGTGAGCGCGCGGCGCGTCGACACGCCTCCGCTTTTGTAACAAAGTCTGCTTGGCTTGTGCAGGTGATGCCCAGAGCTGCAGCGGCGACGCCGGCAGCCTCGTCTCGACCGCAGAGGCTGCCGGCGTGACCATAGATCTGTGCTCTATCCGTCGGTGGTTCACCGTACACGCCTGTGTAGGAGCGGCTCTCGCGTCGCTACGCGCCGCCGAAGGCTGTCTATGAGGGCACACCCGAGGAGGCGCGGATCTCAACCTGCGTGCGGCGGTGACCAGGTCACAGGCATCGGCTGTGACACTGGAGAGTCGAGCAGCGGCACTGAGGATGCCTTTCAGGTCATTCCAGCGACCCACGGAGCACGGTCTCAGTGCGCAATCACTCTACTAGATCCCATCCTTGCCGGGCCTCTGCGAATGTAGGTACCGAGTTCATGCGTGCCCAGTTACAGGCTCATACTGCCTGGTCTCCAGCACCTATGATCACCGCGCCAGGCCGCAGTCGACGACTTTTGTGTGCGCTGGCCGCACTCAACCGTTGAGTCGCGGTGTATCAGCCTGACCACACTCGGGACCGCGTAGGCGATGTGGGCGACTCTGGCCGTCCTGCATATGACCGACCATGACCCAGGAGGAGTCTACACGAGACATGTCGTACCTGGCAGGCGCTCTCGCGGCAGCACTATCGCGTGCGGCCGAGTGCGAGCTTCCGTGCCCGGTGCCAGACGCACTCGGCGCCAGACGTCCTCGGGAGCTCGCAGTTTTGCCACGGCAGTTGCGATCCGGGCGATCAGAGAGCGCCGGCAGCTCAGGGGATCTTGTCTGCTCACCTGAGGTCGGGAGGGTAGCAGCGGCGAGGCCATACGCCAGCGTGAGCCATCCGTATTAACGGTTGTTACAGATTAGTCAGATTTGCCGTGACCGCGTTCCGAGGTCACGATTTCGGCGTTCTCGTGTTGACCACTGTGGGTGTGCCTGGCACTTCTGGATCATGTCTCTCGGTGTCCTAGCACCCCCAGGCGATGGGTTTCACGGCCCCGTACCGCATGGGGCGCAAGGCCTCGCGCCGCGCGTGTGGTTCAAACTTTGTTACAACCCAGTCAGAATAGCGTCAATTAGGGATACCCGGTATCTGGGACGCAACATTAGAGCAGAGGGAGGAGAAAAGGGCACCTGGCGCAGGGCCAAAGAACTCCCTCCGTAGACACTGCTCACACACGGCGGGTGGGACAGGTGGTGGGTCCTAGTAATCACGATGCCGTGCGCTCTACAGAGCGACAGCGCAGCGCACTGCCGTCCGATTATTTGTACCTGTGGGGGCCCAAGGAATCGACTCCCCAGTTTACGGCATGCGAAATGTACGCGGCGTCAGCAAGCGTCCTCCTCCGCGTGGCGTTATCGGCCGGCGATCCCGAAGAGCTCAGCACCGCGCTCGAAGCCGCCATCCGTGCCACTCTGCCCGGCGCCGCGCCGATAAGCGTGGACACCGCAGATGGTGAGCACGTGGTGCATGTTGGCGTGCCGAGTGTCCACGTCCTTGCGGGCCTCCGCGGCGCCGTCCTCTCTGGCGAGTTTGACGCCACTCTCTCGCAGGCGCTCAACCAGGCGCTCACGCTAAGCACCGCCGAGCCCGCTGTCGGCGACGCGGTGACGCTGCGCGGGCTGGTGAAGCGGCCGGCGCTCAACGGCTCCGCAGGCGAGGTGCTCTCTGTTGGCGAGGCGGGCGGCCGCTGCCTCGTCCGGCTGTCAGACGGCTCGCGGCACCAGATGCGAGACCGGCACTCACTCGGAGACGGCTCCGTATCCCCTTCCCTCACTCGCCACACACTGCATTCGGAAGCACCTGCGCCCGCGGCACGTGCCACCCCCCCGCCTCCCCTGAGCCTGGCGAACCCACAGCGTAGGGTCGAGACTCCTCGCCCAGCCGGCCAACCTGGCTCTGCGCGTGGAGGCCAAGGTCGACCGCAGCGAGAGCGCGGCCCAGTTCGAGGCGAGCGCGGCGGCGCTCGACACGCTGACGCCGCACCAGCAGCAGGCGCTCGCCGAGCTGCAGGCGGGCGCGGGCGCGGAGCAGGACCTGCACCTGCGGGCGCCTGCGGGCGCCGGGACGAGGCCGCGCTGCACCTGCAGGGGCTTTCTCGGACCCGCGTCTCGGACCCCTCCCTCTAGGCGCCGGCAAGACGTTTGTCGCGCTGCACGCCGCGCTCTCGACGCTGCGGACGGCGCGAGGCTCGCGTGTGCTTTTCGTCGCGCGGAACGAGGCGCTCGCCCCCTCCCCCACCCGCAGGGCCCGAGCCCCGACTGGAATACCAACCTGGCCCCAGGCGCTCGCCCTCTTCGCCGCCGCGTGGCTCGCGCGCCGCTGCCCAGCCGGCGCGAGACGGCGTCGGCTGCTCGGCCGCATCGACCTGCTCCACGAGCCAATCGGGCGCGGCCCCTGCTCCCTGCGAGCGGTGAGGGGCAGGGTGGAGCGGCGGTGGCCCGCCGCCGCCGCCGAGGAGTACTCGCTACTCCTCGTCGACGAGGCGCTCCTCTCGCCTCCTCTCGGGCGAATCTCGGGCAATCTCGGGCCACGCTCGCGCAGCCTCGGGTTCAACGCACACGACAGCGAGGCCACCCGAGGTCACACGAGGCTGCCCGAGGTCAGGCGCACCATCTCTACGACAACGCGGCCTCGCGCGCCGCGATCGAGCGGCTCGTCGGGCCCCGCACGCGCCGGCTGCTCCTCTCGGACGTCTCCCAGGCTGGCGGCGCGACCCATCTCGATCCATCTCGGGCAGTCTCGCGCAATCTCGGGCAGTCTCGGACACCTCTCTCGGGCGTCTCCCAGGCGGTGGCGCGATCGATCGCCTACCCGGCCGGCGCCGCCGACGTGCACCTCTCCGAGGTTGTGCGCTGCTCGCGCCGCATCGTCGCCGGCGCGATGGCCTTCCAGCTGGGCGGCGAGGCAAAGCTGCTCACGCGCTGCCATCACGAGAGCACCGGGCCGCCCCTCCGCTCCTTCCTCTTTGACGCCGAGCGGGAGGAGGACGGCGGCGGCGGCAGCGGCGGCGGCGGCGGCGGTTCGTCGTCTCGGTTTGAGCGGTACGCGCGCCACTGCATGCGCGCGCTCGAGCACGCGACATGCCTCTTCCCGCGCCTCGCGCTGCACAACCGGGTCGCGCTGGTCGTGCCGGACGCCACCTTCCGCGAGGGGCTCGCCGCGTCGCTCGCGCCGCTACTAGCACCGCGCGGCCTCGGCCTGGCGACTGCCGCCCAGGCGGCGGCGGAGCTGGGCGAGGAGGAGGGCGCGGGGGGAGAGGAGGAGGGCGAGGGGGGAGAGGAGGAGGAGGGCGAGGAGGAGGGCGAGGAGGAGGAGGCGGAGGCGGAGGCGGAGGCGGAGGCGGGCTCGGCCTGTCCGCTCGGCGAGTGGCTCGTGCTTGACGAGGTGAGCGCGATGGACGGCCTCGAGCGGCTGGTCGTCGTCGCGGTTGGGCTGGACACGCCCGTCCGCCCCGCCGCAGCGGCAGGCAGCGGCGGGGCGAGGGCTGGCGGGGCGGGCGACGGCGGCGACAGGGCGGTCCTCGAGACGCGCTCGACGCTGTACCGCGCCCTCACGCGCGCGCAGTGCCTCGCGATGGTGGTCAACGAGCACGTGCCGGGCGGCTGGCTCGAGTTCCTGGCGCACGTGTCCCTGCGGCAGGACGAGCAGTTCGAGCCCGAGGCTGCGATGCAGCGCACCGAGGCGCAGCCGGCCGAACCTCGTCCGGCGCGCAGGCGACCCGAGAGGTCCGCGAGAGGGCGCGAGAGTACTCGCGTAGGCGGCGACTGTCGAGACGCTCGTCCACGCGCAGATCTGCGACGCGCTCGCCGCCGCCGCGCGCGAGGCCTCCGCGCGCCCGCCCGGCGAGGAGGCGACTGGCTGGCTGGCGAGCAGGGTCGCCTCCGCAGTCGAGGGCGGCGCCGAGCGCGAGGAGGCCGTCCGGTCTGCGTGGGCCCTCTGGACAGGATGCACGCGGCAGGCGCGGGGACCCTAGATGAGGAACACTAGATGAGGAACACGCCCCTCCTCTTGCCGCCTTCACGAGGCAGACCCTGTGGCGTGCGCGCTCCCTCCGACGGCAGAGAGGGGCACCCCCCCGCTCGTGTCGATGGTGCATGTCGATGGTGCAGGCGCGGGAGGCTCTGCGCGCCGAGGGACTGGCGATGGCGTCGCCGCTCGGCATCCGGCCCACCGAGGAGGAGGTCGAGCGGCTCTGCGACGCGGCGGCGCTCGCGCTCGGCCGCGGGGAGGTGCCGGGCTGCTTAGGAGCAATTGATTAGTCAGCCGGTGATTTGATTAATTCTACGCTCGGCCGCGGGGAGGTGCCTCACGCGGACCTCGTCGCGCGGAGCTCGCTGCGCTCCTGGCTGACGGCGAGGGAGGCGCCAGAGATCGACGCCGCGCTGCTCGCGGCGGCCGAAGCCGCGGCTTGCGACGCCCCCGCGCAAGAGGAGTGGGACCTACGGGGCTACAGCGCGGGCGCGGTGCGCTTCGACGACCCCTGCTTGGTGGGGGTGCCGCCAGAGAGAGCCGCCGCTTCCGCCGCCGCGGGTGCCCGCTCACTGGTGCTCACCTCCTCGACCTCGCTTGCGCGGCTGCCCGTCGCGCCGCTGCGGCGGCTCGTGGCCGAGCAGCTCGCGAAGGCCGGTCCGCTCGCGGTGCAGCTCGAGTCGAGTCGCGAGCGGCTGATCGCGCTCGAGGTGGCGCTTCTCGGCGCTGAGGCGCATAGCGAGGCGCTCGCGCCCGTCGCCGGGCTGCAGGCGAGGCCAGGGGGGGCGCCCGTGCCGAGGCTCGAGGCGCGCTGGAGCTCCCCCCCCCCCCACCACCACCACCACCACCACACCTCACCTCGCCTCACCTCTCCACCTCCCTCCCGGCGGCGCAGAGGCTCGAGCGGCTCTTTCCACCCGGTGCTGTCAGCCCCGTCGAGACTCTGTCAATCAACCAGCGCATCGCCGCTCTCGAAGCGGCCGTGGCGTCCCAGGGGGGCGGTCTGGCCGCGGCGGCGGCACGCGCCGTGCGGCAGTGGAGATATGCCGAGCTCGAGGTGGCCGCGCCGCTGATGAACCTGGACCCGGGCGGAACCAACGGCGTGGCCGCGCTGGCGCTGCAGCTCGCCCTCGAGCATCCCGCTTGCGAGCTGGCAGGCACGCTCGCGGCTGCTGTCGCGGCGGTGCTCGGCGGGCAGGACGTGGCCACGGCTGTGGCCATGCACAGGGCCAAGCACGCCCGCGAGTGGGCACAGCGGCAGGCTCGCGACGCGCTGCAGCGCGCGGCGGCCCGCCTCGCGCTCGACCCCGGCTGGTCCTCCTTTGGTGGGGACGCGGCTCTCGACGCGATGGCGGCCGAGGTGAGCGACGTGGCGGTGAGGGCGCACCCCATCTTCGGCGAGCAGGACCCGCCGGTGCCAGACGGCGAGGTGGACAAGGCGGCGCGGGATGTGGTCGAGGCGTGGTCGCTCGCAAAGGCGTCCGAGACGCTGCCGAGACGCTGCCGAGACACTGCCGAGACGCCGTCGAGACACGTCGCCCCTCACACCTCCCGCCCTCCTCCACTGCCCACCTCTCGCAGGCTCACACCTCCCGCCCTCCTCCACTGCCCACCTCTCGCAGGCGGTTGTGTCGCGGCTGATCGCAACCGAGGCGGAGAAGCTGCAGGCAGAGCTGCCCGCGGCGCAGGACCTGCTGCCGCAGATCATGGCCAGCGTGCGGCAGGGCGGCGTGGAGGTGAACGCGGCAGCGGGGCAGGCCATCCAGGAGTGGAGCGAGGAGCGGCTTACGGCGCGCCGCCGCGACGCCCTCGTCTCATCGGCGCTTTCCGAGGCGCCTCTCTGCCCACACAGCGAGGCTACGGGCTCGCGGCCCTCCTCTTCCCATCTGCCCTCCCGCCCTCCCCCCGCAGGCGCTCTCGAAGCGGCGGCTCCGCCTGCCCGACGCGGCGACCCGGAAGATCCGCGCCGCGCTGCTCGCGGCGGTGGCGCGGGGCGACCACCTCGAGGCCGCCGTCGCCGCCGCGCTCGACGAGGCGGAGGCGCGGCAGGTGCGGCGGCGGGTGTCGCAGACGGTGTGGGACCCGTCGTCGAACGAGGTTGCGAAGACCAGTGGCTTGCTCGCTTTCATGCCCTTCAAGTCGGGTGGCGACGCGGCGCTCGACCACGACGTGCTGCACCACGTCTTCTCGCTGCTCCCCTTCCACTGCCTCCGCAGCCTGGCGCTCGTGTGCAAGCGGTGGCGCTCGGTCGCCACTGGTGAGACGCTCACGAGACGCCCCCAAGACAATTCCGAGACACTCCCGAGACACTTCGAGACGCTTTCTGCCCACTTCCGACGGTACCTGATTCCTCTGCACCGCCGCCCGCCTCCGTCCACCGACGCGTCCACGACGCGTCCGTGCACAGACCCCTCCTGGAAGCCCGACGTCGTCGTGTACGCGTGGGGTTCGCCGGACGTGTCGGGCATCGCGGGCGGCAGCAGCGTGCCACGGCTGCTCCCCTTCTCGCGCATGCACGAGGTCCGCTCGCTCACTTGCGCCGACAACGCGACCCTGGCCCTCGGGATGGACGGCTCGGTCTGGCATTGGGGCAGGAGCTGGCTGCCGCACGGGGACGCGGTGCCGGAGCCGGTGCGCATCCCCGAGCTGAGCGGCGTCGCCGCGCTGTCGGCCACCCCTCCGGGGTACGACCACGAGCGCTCCCAGCGGCGCGGCTTCTCTGCGGCGGCCGTCACGCACGGAGGTCACCTCTGGGTCTTTGGCACCTCCTTCTCGGTCGAGGGCGTCGCGGCGGGCGTCGCGGCCGAGGAGTGCCGCCAGCTGCTGCAGCGCGAGCGGCTCGTCGTGCGGCCGCGGCGGGTCCTCCGCTTTGGCGGCGCGCCGGCGGCCTCGGCAGCGGTGGCGCAGGTAGCAGTTGGCCTCAGGTTCCTCGCCGTCGCGACGCGTCCTCTCGCCGCAGAGGGCCTTGCCGCGAGTAGCGCGTCCCCTCCGGCCACCGCCTCGACCGCCAGCCCGGCCGACGACCCGACCGCCAGCGCGCCGGAGAGGCGCTCGTCGCAGGTCTTCACGGTGGGCGTCTTTTGCGAGCCCGGTGACGCGCACGCGCTGCGGGCGTGGGAGGGGCTGGCGGGCGTGCCGTTGCGGCAGCTGTGCGCGGGCTCGTTCCACTGCTGTGCGCTCTCCACGAGCGGCGAGCTCTACACGTGGGGCCACCCTCTTGGCCGGGATGTGAGCAACGGCAACTTGCTCGGGCACGGACCCATCCCGCTGCCCGCGGAGCATGCCCCTCTCGCGCAGCCTCCTCGCCGCGTCGCTGGGCTGGCGCAGCACCCCGTGGCCGAGGTGAGCTGCTCGACGTACAGCGTGCTCGCCCTCACCACCGACGGGCGAGCTTTCACCTGGGGCGACTCGGACGGCGATGCCCTCGGCCACGACGAGGACGAGTGCTCCGCGCCGCGCTGGCTCGACGCGCCGTCGCTGCGCGGGCAGAACTTCGCGCACGGCGCGGTCGCCTACACCAACGCGGCGGTCGCAACCACCGACGGCCGCGTGTTTATGTGGGGCGGCAACGCCTGGGAGCGAGGCATCGCCGCCGGCCGCGCCGCGCGCGGGCCGAGCGAGATCACGTGGAGCGGCGCGCCCCCGTGCTACCAGTGCACTTCGGTGTCACTGGCGTGGCGGCACGGCTACCTGCTGTTCCACAAGCGGGCATGACAGTAGTACTGCCTGCTCGCACTTTGGCGTCCATGACATACAGCTCGCTGCTCGCCGAGTCGGGCACGAAGAGGCGGCCGGACAGGAAGGAGCCAGAGGTGTAAAGCCAGCTTACAACGAGTGGGAGAGTGTGAGTTATTGGGGGTTGGGGGGGGGTCGGGAGTGTTGTTGTGAAATTCGGGAGTTTTCTCTGAAAATCGTTTTCATTCATTGAGAGCTATATGAGGATTCGCCGAGGACGTACGCACTGTTTCGGCGGCGGTGCTGCTGCGCGCGCCTCGCGGGGCAGAGCGGGCGGCGTCGAAGCCCCATGAGCGGCAGCATCGGCCGCGGGTTCAAAAGCCTCAGACTCGCGAGTCTCGGCCTCGGCGACGATCTCGCCGTGGCTGAGAGGACCAACGATGAGCAGGATTCGCTGGCCGCCGAGGGGCTCGTTGCAGACATCGTTCTTGTCCATCCAAACGACGATGAGCTTGCGGAAGCGCGGAATGGACTCACCATCATGATGGAGCGACAAGGCTTGACCATCACGACGAGCAGCACTGCCGATGGCAAAAGCACGCTGCTCAAGGTGACGGCGCCAACGGCTCGGCTTGAGGAGGAGGCTGAGCGGATCGGCATGTGCATGCTGCTCAAGCCCGCAGCCCCACACGGCGATCTGCCGCGTCCGTCGTCGGACGACGGTGCGACAGCCAAGGGCGTGCTCGACGGCGTGCAGAATGGCCTGACCCGAATTAGCAACGGCCTCAAGGGACTCGGCAGCCTGCTGGGGACCGACGAGCCGACGGAGCGCGGGTACACCGTCTACACGCGCGATCGGCGGGAGGAGTTTGAAACGAAAGCGGGCCTCCTCTTTACGGCGCTCGAGCGGCAGCGGCTGCTCTATGCCATCCTCGAGGCACCTATCGAGCGGGGTGGCGCGCAGCTGGACCTTGACGAACTGGTCAGCGAGGACGTCCTCTCCACGTACTTGTCGATGCACGACTCGGACAGCGACGGGCCGCACGACGTGCTCCACAAGTCGTGGAAGCGCTGCGGGATGATGCCGTGCAGCAAGAGCCTCCTTGGCGTGAAGCGCCGCGTCTTTCCCGATTTGGGGTTGTGCCAGCAGCCTCTGCCCGCGATCCGGGACTACTACGGCGAAAAGATAGCCTTCTACTTTGCGTGGCTGGACAATAACACCTCCCTGCTGTGCCTCTTGATGTGGGCGCTGATTGCACTCGAGGCCATCTACCTCGCCGACGGGTGCAACTTTCTGGGATCGATGACGGTCTCACTCGAGACCGCTGAGGACGACATGTGCGAAGGTGCAGAGGACCACGCCGACTGGGACGACCCAAAGTGCACCACACTCGCGGCGCCGACTCTTCTCGTCACCAGCGTGCTCCTCGCGCTCTGGGCGTCGGCGCGGGGGGAGATGTGGAAGCGGACGCAGAGGCTCCTCGCATACCAGTGGAACATGCTCGACTTCGACAGCGCGGAGGCACCGCGGCCCGAGTTTATTCACTCCTACCGCAAGGGCACGTACCGGCACGACGGCCCGAACCCCGCAATGACAAAGCAGGCTGGCTTTTACACCTCTGGATCCTTCCTGTCCGGCCGCCTCTTCGTGCCCGACTCGGCGAGCAGCGAGCTGTATGTCATGGACGCCAAAGTGCGGAGCAGGCAGTCCTGCTGGGGCGTGCCGCTGCTCCTCCTGATTGCGTCCGTCACCCTGTGCATCATGTTATCCATTTGGTCCTTCGGGATGCTGATGGCGCTCGCGGTTCAGTTCCAGGACGAAAGCTGGAACAGAGGCGGCTCTATCATCTGCTCCATCCTCTCGGCCGTGTGGATCACACTGATGAACGCGGCATACAGTAAGCTCGCCACCTTCATCACCAACCTGGAGAACCAGCGCACACAGACCGAGTACGAGAACTCCCTCACTCTCAAGCTCTTCCTCTTCACTGCGGTCAACTCGTACGGCTCCCTCTTCTACCTCGCCTTCCTCAAGCCGCTGTCCATCCCGCTATTCGACGCCTGGGGATGGCGCGACCCGCAGGACAACGCGTACGCCGACACGTGTGGTGTGCGTGGGAAAGACTGGTGGGCCAGCGTTGGTTGCAACGTCGTGCAGAGTGAAACATGCCGCGGCGGCGAGTATGACTGCCCCGAGGACTACAACTTTATCCTTGTGCGAACCGACTGCTGGGGTGACTTGCGCATGCAGATGATCACCCTGATGCTGATCAAGCCGCTCTATGAGCTCCCTCTGCAAATCCTTCTCCCGCGGCTCACAAACAGGCTCAACTTACTGAGGCGCAAGCGTTCCATCCGGCAGAGCCGCGGAGAGGGGTGCTGCGGCGGTCGCTGCGCCTGCAACGATCAATGCTGCAGCAGCGGCTGCTGTGGCAGAGGTGGCGTGGAGTCTGCCGACGGCGAGGGTGCCAATGATAGCGCCGTGGCGTCCCTAACGAGCCGGATCGAGCGACAGATCGCGCTGCCGGCCTTTGGCGGAACCGTTGCCGAGTACAACAGCAAGGTTGTGCAATTCGGGCTGATTGCCTGCTTCTCGGCCGTCTTCCCGCTCGGCACGGCACTCGCGATGGTCGTCAACTTCATTGAACTCCGCGTCGACGCACACAAGCTCGGTCACAACACGCGCCGTCCTCGCTACCAAGGCGCCCGCTCGGTTGGCTCTTGGGAGAGCATGATGGGCGTACTCGCGTGGCTTGCCGTTGCGGTACGCGAGACGGCGGCGCCGCTGCCTCTATGAGGATCCACCCGCTCGACGGGACGCCCCCCCTCCCTCCTCAGGTAAATATGCTTCTGCTAGCCACATCGTGGACCTTTCGCGACCATTTTATCATCCCCGTCATGGCGGCGGGACGCGGCGAGGGGGACTGCGATACGACCTCCGACCCCGCAGCAATGACGCCGCGAGGCCTCTGGTCGGGGACCAACATCTCGTGGTACGACGACAAGTGCACTCAGAACTACCAGCTCTGCTTCTCCGAGATTGGGTCCGCACCTTGGCTGCCCGCGCTGACCTACCTGCCAAAAGACGCATACGAATCAAAGTCGCTGCGCAGCGTGCTGTGCGACGAGGACGGCGTGCACTACGATCGGACCCTCTGCGACCTTTGCGGCGAGCGGCAGGAAACGGTCCACGTGCAAATGTTCATCCTCCTGGTCGCACTCGAGCACGGCATCGTTTTCGCAAAGCTGCTGCTGGCGGGGGCGGTGCCTGACGCGTCCACCGCGGTCAGAAAGGCTGAAGCGCGCCGCGCGCACGACAATGGCGTCGCCGCCAGCCAAAGCGCGGAGGGTGGGGTCGAGACGAAGGCGTAGCATAATCCGTTTTGTCTGCATGATGGAGTCTATCTCGACTAGATGTACGTTTCTGCCGCCTTGCATGATAACGTTCTCGTAACCGGTGCTGGACGTGGACGACATGCGGAGGGCAACGGGCTTGTCGTTCCAGAAGCCGGCGCGGAACCATTCGCCATTGCGGGCCTCAAAGGGCTGGCCGAGCCCCTCCAGCGGGCTAGGGTTGCCTAACGTTAATTTGGGGCCTAACAGTTGCGCTATTGTTGGCTGAAATCCTCAACGGTGTTCAAGTGTTCACCCCAGCCCACGCTGTTACTGTTTGTTACTGTTGTTACTGTTGTTACTGTTGTTCAGCGGTCAGCAAGCAGAAAATGCCAAACCCCCCGGGTAATATACCCGAAATACCTGGGAGTTTCCGGGTATTTTCGGGTATTACCCGCACTGGACACTAGAGATCGTCGTGGGTCACTGCCAGGCCTTCCTTACTGTTGTTCAGTCGGCCTAACGTTAGCTACTGTTGTTGGGGAGCCCCACTGTTGTTCTGTTGTTACTGTTAACACTATCAACACTGTTCAGCTCCTAACGTTAGGCAACCCTACCAGCGGCATGAGCAACTGTGCCGCTCCCGCTAACGTGTATCTTCACTATCAACGCGGTCCGTGAAGATACACCGCTTCGACTTGGAACCCGTGTATCTTCGTATGAAGATACACCCCGCTTCGGCGCGGAACCCGCATAAGTAAATCTGCGGTGTATCCTCGGTGTATGTTCCGTCCGTCTAGACACACGGAGGAGTGTAACTTCTCTCATGACACGAACCTCCCTCCAGGGAACCTCACAAGGGGGGGGGGGGGCGTGCCAGTCCTTGGCTACGTTATGCGCCTCTGTTCTGCGGCTGTTTTCCAGCCGAGAGCTCAGGTGGCGATGGCGTGAGCTACTGGCTGGGCGTACGAGGGGAGAAAAGGGATAGAGGGTTGTGTTCTCTAGGCCTACACCCCGGAGTACGTACGAGGGCGAGGCGAAAGAAAACGTGCGAAGAAAAAACGAATAGCTAGAGGCTGCGCAGGCCGTCCCGTTTGCTTTGGCCGTCCCTCCCGCGCGCTCCGCGACGTGATGTTGTTTCCATTTTTTTCTGAGCTCTGTCGGCGGCGACTCTGCGAGCCTGGACCGTGCGTGGGCAAAGTGCGGCGAAATGACCGCCCCGAGAGAGAGCTCTGCGCGCATACTGGAGTATGTCGACAGCTTCTTCTCCTCCGAGGTCAAGATCAGCGCCCGACTCGTCTATCTCATCATGCTGACCGGGACGCTCCTTTACAGCGCCGCTGCCTTCGCCGAGCCGGTGCTCCGACCGTCCTGCGGCAAGCAACCGGACACCGTTCACGCGGTCCTCGGCCAAGGCCTCGAGGGAGGGCTCGAGACGGCTCCAAACCCGTCCTACCGCGCAGACCCGTGCCGCTGGGATCGGTACGCCATTCTCCTCGGTATGAACCCTTGGGAGTGCGACATGTCGCGCCGGATCGTCCTCTCCCTTCTCCTCGGCTCCATCATCGGTTTCGAGAGGCGGCGCGCTGACCGGCCGGCTGGCATACGCACCATGGCGATGGTTTGCCTTGGCTCGTGTGTCTTCACTCTCGGGAGGTGAGAGAGAGCCAGAGCCGCCCTACCGCCACACTACCCGCCCACCTCCACGCCTACGTCTCTCTGGTCTCGGCGCCGCCCCGACCCTTCGCCTGCCCGCCTCCCTCCCTCCACCACCAGCATGTACGCCTTCGCCTCCTCCTCCTCGACGATGGGGTGGGATGCCTCGCGCGTGTCGGCGGCCATCCCCTCGGGCGTCGGCTTCCTCGGCGCAGCCTCGATTTGGAAGGGCACCAAGGGGACGGGCGAGGACAAGGTGCCGGAGGTGCACGGGCTGACGACCGCTACATCCGTGTGGCTCTCCGCCGCCATCGGCATCCTCTGCGGCGGCGCGCTCCCCACACCCCGGAAACTGCTAGGAGGGGAGGCCCGCACTTGGCGGCTGACCCCCTCGCTGCATTCGCCTTCTCCCCCAGGCGGGCTGTACGTGCCGTGCCTCTTCACAGCGGCCGCCGGAGTCGTCTACTTGCGGTTTGCCCCGCGGCTCCCCGGGTCGGCGGGATCGCTCACCTTTGCCCTGCTCGGCGACCACGTGGCGGAGCGCGCGCAGGGGGATACGAGGGCCAGGAGCTACACAGCGCACGCTTCGGCCGACGATTTGCCGCAGCTCCCGCCGCTCGACCCCGTCGCCGCGGCAGAGGCGGGCGCGTCGCGGATCGCGCCCAGCGTGCGCTCCTATTCCCTGCCGTGACACGCAAAAGAGGGTGTGTACAGTGGGCCTTCGCCATCCCGCGTTCTCTGTCTCACCTCACACACATCTGACTCACACTTGGGATCAACCCATGTGTGCCGAGTGACGTGAGTGTTTTTGTGTGTGTGGACACATGAAAATAAAATAAAAGGATAATAAAACAAATGCGATCACCGCAATGCTCAATGCGAGTTGAGTGTCACGGCTCACGCCCCGGCCCGCACGCAAGGGCCTGGGCCTCCACGGACCACGCTCCATGGTGCTTGCGTTGGTGGCGGGGGGGGGGGGCGGGGGGCGGTTCTCTACAGTCACTCTTACTAGCCCCTAAACGGCTACCGAAACGGGGTGCCCGGAAGGGCGATATCACGGCGGCCTAACTGTGCCTCCGTGCGCTCGCCACATACCCCCTGCTGCCCGAGGGTCGTGTTAGCACTTCATTGGGTACATACAGAGGCGGTGGGAAGCCACCACGTTCCCTTCAAAATTTCCGCCACAGAGCTCCGGTGTCCGGAGCGCTCTCTGCACGAGCTCCTGGGACGCGGTTTCGTCTTTCGATCCCAGACGGTCGTCGCACGTCGGCGCCCCAGTGAGGTCCGCCGTCATAGCTGTACGTGTAGCACGCGCTACTAGACACACTGCCTCCAAGTTGAGCGGTGGAAAATTGCGACCACCCCGAAGCCACGCACCGAAGCGCTGGCGTCCCTCGGGCAATCTGCCACCGACAGCAACACGCGCCTTTGATCACCGGCTGCTTGCGCTCCGCATACTCTCCAGAAGCTGTTGGTTGTGTGGCTGATGCTGCTTCTATCACTGCTCGACCGTCAGCCAGGAAGGGTGTGTCGCAACGCACTGTATTGAGTTTGGCCCGCAGCGGACCAGGACGACGCAGAGTCGTTCAATTCAACGTAGTAGATGGTAGATCTGAATCATGTTCATAGTTTCTCCACGTGTGGCTAAACTTGGCGAGGCGGTTCTGGGCGTCCACACGGCTTGCACCGGTGACCCTTGCGAGCGCGTCCGGCAGAGCGACTGAAGAATCGAGGACAGAGTCACAAATCCCGCTTGTTGTGCATGCATGTTTTGAGGTCGGGCAGTGCTGCTGTCTTCTCCACGCAGCAGCCGACGCCACCAGGCCTCGGTAGCTGAGCAGCAGGAGCCTCCTCGCTGCTGGCAGAGTTGCGCCTCTGTTTGCCGCCGCTAAGAGATCGTTGTTGCGGGAAATCCAGGGAATCTAAAGGAATCTAGAATCTGTGGGTCCGAGATTCGATCTGGGACCTGAGCCGCTCGGGGCCAGCTGCACATGACCCGGGGCCACTGCCATGTCGCAGACGACTGCTGATCGGCCGTCGCTGCGACCACGAAGCCGTTTAGGGGCTAGGCCCCCAAAAGGCCCTAGTGCCTAGATACCCGCGGGCATGCCCGGTTGCCCGCGGGGCGTCGCGCGGCGTGAGAGCTCGGAAGCGATCGAGGATGGCTCTCTTTCCGTGTAAAATCTAGTCGCGAAGAGCTACATACACTGAAAATCCATGGAATGGCACAACGTAGCCCAACGTAGCGCCCAATTAACACGTGTACTGTACGACGGCGTTTGACATACGTTCGCTCACAAGTGCAAGGGCTCCATCTCGCCCCCTCGCTCGCCGGCGGCGGCGTGGTGCAAATTTCGCACGGGCGCGAGCAGCAGTCCGGCGCACAACGTGCGCCACGCCAGCAGCAAAGCGAGCAGCACGCTGGCGAGGCCAACTGCGAAGGGCAGCGCAGCGCGCGAGCCGTACGCGCTCGGGTCGAAGAGCGAGCGCGAGAAGCACGGCGCCGCGGCGGCGAGGGCGACCGTGCAGGACGCGACGACGAGGGCTTGCGCCTGGTGGAAAACGGGACGCGTGACACGCCCGCGCTGAAGCAGCGGAAGCGGTGGCCCGACTCGCCGGGGCTGCTCGCCTGCGCGCGCTGCTCCGCCGCAAAGTGGCGCGTGAGCAGCAGCAACATGCTCGGCCAGAGCCCCACCCCGGCGAGCAGCAGCAGCAGCATCCCGAGGCGCAGTGCGGGCGCCTAGTAGGGGCGACGCCACGAAAGGTCGGGGTGGGAGCCGGCCGGCGCCGCAGCGGGAGCAGCCCGAGGGAGGAGGCGCCGACGGCGAGAGACAGAGAAGCGCGAGGCCGGCGGCGGCGGCGGCGAGCGAGGCCAGCAGGACGGCCTCCGCCCGCGTCGAGCGGAGGGCAGCCTCGCACCCCGCTGTCCACCCGCCGCAGCGCTCGCCGACACAACGCCGACGCGCGAGCTCGCGGCCGAGCGCAAAAAGGGCCGCCGCCGCCGCCGCCGCCGCCGCCGCGACGCCGACGGAGGCGACGAGCGCCTCCTGCAACTCGCCTGTTCACCGCGGGCCGACTGCTGTGAAGAGGCGCCGCCGACATCCGCCACGCGAGGACAGTCGCGCGGCTCGCCCTGCCGCCAGCCGAGGGTGGCGATGCTGAACGAGCCGAGCACGGAGCCTGTCGGACGACACCGTGGACGTGTCGCGGACATGCTCACGCCGAGGCGGCGGGACGTGCCTAGCGCGAGGAGCCGACGCCGCCGACGCCGAAGGCTGCGAGGCCCGCCGTGCCACAGAGCCCCTGCAGCAGCCGCGAGCCGGCGGCCAGCTCGAGGAGGCCCCCGCCGCTGGCGGCGGAGGCAGCGGCGGCGGATCCGCTTGCTCCACTGGCTCCGGCAACGGCCTCGGCTTCGCCAGCACAGAGGTGGCGTCTGCCGTCGTCCGCGGAGGTCCTGCTCGCCGGCGGCGGGGCGAGGAGGAGGAGGAGCGCCGGCAGGGGCGCGGCCACGCCGAGCACGAGCTGCAGCCGCGCGTAGCCAGACAGCCCCATCTCCATCCGCAGGAGCGCGGCGGACAGCGCCGTGCCGCTCAGGGCGGCGGTCGCGGCGGCGGCGGCGAGCAGGAGGAGGGCGGGCCCGAGCCGCTCGGAGACGGCCGAGCAGCTCATGGCGTGGTCGGCATAGAGCGCGTTGAGAGGCACCTGCGCCGAGGCGGCGCCAGCGACAGAGGAGGAGACAAACACGGCCGGCAGCCAGAGCGCGAGCGCCACGCCCTGCGGCGGTGGCGGCGCGTTGGCCTCTCTGGAGGCATGCGCGGCGGCCGCGGCGAGCAGGCACGCGGCGACCGCCTTGAGGAGGAGCGAGGTGGCGACTGCGCACCGCCGGCCGCGCCGGTCGGAGAGGACGCCAAACGCGGGTCCGCCAACGACGTGCGCGAGGAGTCTCACCGTGGTGAGGTCGCCCTCCACGGCCTGGCCGGAGCGCACCACGCCTTCGAGCGAGCCACAGTGGAACGAGCCGCTGAATGGGTGACTCCTGTTGACGGGAGCAGCGCAGACCGCGGCCGCTCGAAACAGCGGGAGCTCTGCGTTTCGTCCGACGGCGTCGATGAGCGTGCTGAGCCAGGCCACGGCGAGAGTGGCCGCGAGCGGCAGGATTCGCATATGCGTGTAGCTACTGTATCCACGGAGCACAGAACACGCCTTCTCAGTGGGGCCGCGAGAGTCCGCAGCCGCCAGTGAAATAGTGGGCGTGACCAGACCGTTTTGAGTAATCGACGCGTCCGCCGGTGACATACTCCAAAACACTAAAAATCTCTCTCTCTCATACTCCAGTAGATCTATCTTTCTTTCCACCCAAGAAGCCCGTTTGGAGGGATGGGCGGCAGTGTGCGGGCGGTGAGTGCTAGTCCTCTCATCAATTTAGAACGAAACGCCCCCCCCCCCCTTCCTCCCTCTATCCCTCTTGCTCTCTCTCTCTCTAGACCTAGACACCGACAGACTGTTCACCAACCAATCCTCTACCCCTCCCTCTCTCCCTCCTAGACTCCCTCCACTCGTCCGATCTGGCCAGCCTGGGAAACATACTGGCGCGGGAGCGTTTCACGCTTGCAGGCGCACCCGCGCGCGGGGGCATCTGCGCGCACACGGCGGCTTGCTCAGAGCGTGAGGACACATACGGAGGCGCGGGCGTGCGCGGGGCGGGCGAGGTGACGGGCGTGAAGCGAAAGCGGGTGAGGTATAATGGGCGTGGCCCGAAGGCGTGACATTGCAACCGCTGCAGCCAGCGGCGTACGCAGAACCTGTGGTTGCAAAGAGTTGGCCCCCCGCGTACCGGGTTTCCCCTTAACTGCAGGACGCCCCCTCTACTCGGAGCTAATGAACACCACACTGCACGCCCCACACCACCACTCCGCACTCACTCGCACAGGCCACTTGAGTAGACCCCCCCGCCTGAGGGTTCACCCTCCTAAAAGTAAACACGGGTCACCGAGGGTTGGCCCCGCGTACCGGATTTCCCCTTAACTGCAGGACGCCCCCTCTACTCGGAGCTAATGAACACCACACTGCACGCCCCACACCACCACTCCGCACTCACTCGCACAGGCCACTTGAGTAGACCCCCCCGCCTGACCCTGAGGGCTCACCCCCCGTCTTCCCAGGGTCCCGATCCTCCTTGATTCGCTCTCTTGCTCGTCTCCCGAGCGTCATGCGACGGCCCGGTGTGGCCGTTTCCCTCGTTGTTGGTGCCGCTTCCTCCGCTGCCGCCCCTCGTCCTCGCCAGCTTCTTCCCCCGGCTCCACCGACTCCAAGGGCATCGACGGCCCGGCCGGGGTCTCCCCGGGCGAGGGCGGCGGCATCGTGTCTCGTCGCCACCCCTCCCCGGGAGGTCGGGCCGGATCTCCCTGGTCGGCGAGTCGCGCCCGCATCCGCGGCCTCTCTATCGTTCTCGGCTCGCCCTCCCCCTCCGCCGGCTCCTCACTAGGCTCGGGGAGGCGCGGTCTCTCTCGCCGTAGATCACGGCGGTCCGGCCGCCGCCGCGACAGGTCTACCCCCGGTGGGCTCGCACGGCCCGACTCCACTCGCAGAGGCCGAGTCAGCTCGGCTCTCCCCTCCTCCGACAGTTGATTCCAGGCCCCACCCGGGGCCGTCCGCCTCCGCGGATTTCTTGCATATCAACCCTGCCGCCGAAGGCACCGCGCGGGGCGCTCTCCTTTCAGCCCCAATCCCAGCCAATCCCCGAAACCCACCGCTTTTGCCGCCTAGGCGCACGCCGCCGCCTCCTCGTCGTAAGGCATGAGCGACTCCAAGTTCACCAGCCTGCTGCAGCGGCTCGAGGCTGTCACGGTCCGTCTCGAGGGGATGGAGAAGTCGGCGCCGGCAGGGTCGGCGCCGGCCGCGTCGGCCGACGACGCTCCGCCGTCGGCCATGCTGGCCGACTACGACGCCCTCCTCGCCGGAGAGGTCGCGGCCTACGTCGAGCTCGCCGGCAAGCTCGGCGCTGCCGACGTCGAGGCGCAGGCCAAACTAGTCCAGCAGGCCTTTGTGGCGCAACGCGAAATGCTGGCGCTCGTCGCCAAGTGCAAGAAGCCGGCCGAGATGGGATCCATCGTCCAGCCGACCGCCGAAAAGATCGCCGCGGTGCAGGCTGCCGTCGACCGGCGCTCGGCGAGCTTCAACCACCTGCAGGCTCTCCTCCCTCCTCTCTCCTCCCTGCCCTCTCCTCCCACTCTCACCGCCCTCTCCCAGCCTCGAGCGCCCTCCCTCCGCTCAGGCGATGGGCGAGTCCATCCCTGCCTTGGGGTGGGTGATGGTCGAGAAGACGCCCGCGCCGCACGTGAGCGACATGTGGCAGTGCGGAGAGTTCAACCAGCAAAAGATTGTGATGGCCAACAAGGGCAAGGACGAGACGCAGGCAGCCTGGCTTGCCCCCTCGCCCAGCAGCGCCGGCCGGGCCGCCTCACCTCGCCTCCTCGCGGCTCATCTCGCAGGTCGAGTTCGCAAAGTCGATTAAGGCGATCTACACGGCGCTCGAGGCTTTCGTCAAGGCGAGATGCGCCGAGATGCCCGAGATGTCCCGAGATGTCCCGAGATGGCGCGAGATCTGCACGGCGCTCGAGGCTCTCGTCATGGAGAGACCTCTGCGCTGGCCCCTCGTAGTGCCGCCCCTCGCAGTGCCGCCCCTCCACCCTCTCACCCTCTCACCCTCTCATGCCACGGCGTGAGTGCACGTGCTCCTTCTCTCAGCGCCGCCTCTCACGGTGCCGCCTCTCTCCCCGCACCAGGCGCACCACCGCACGGGCCTGGAGTGGAACCCGAAGGGAGGCGCCGTCGGAGACGCAAAGGCGGCGGCGCCGCCACCGGTTGCGCCAGGCGCGCCGCCGCCGCCGCCGCCGCCGCCGCCGCCGCCGCCTCCGCCTCCGCCGCCGCCGGCCGATTCCGGCGGCGGAGGCGGCGGTGGCGGGGCCGCGAACGCGCTGTTTGCGGAGATCAACCAGGGCGCCAACATCACGTCGCACCTGAAGCACGTCAAGAAGGGCGAGGGGCTCAAGGACCGGCCCGTGCCCGTCGCAAAGGCGGCCGCCAAGCCGGCGGCGGCGGCCGCCAAGCCGGCGGCGGCGGCCGCCAAGCCGCCCAAGTTTGCGCTGGAGGACAAGCGGTGGTGCGTCGAGTACCAGAAGGGGGCCAAGGACCTGTGCGTCTCGGAGCCGCTCGTCAAGCGCGCCGCCCCCGCCTCTGCCGAGGTCGGCCCGAGGTCAGCCCGCTGCTTGCCTCGAGCCCCTCGCCCCGAGCCTAGGCACACCGTCTACCTGTTCAAGTGCGAGGACTGCGTGCTGAAAGTGAGCGCAAAGGTGAACCACATCACGCTCGACTCGTGCAAGAAGACGGCCTCCGCCCTCGACGCGCTGGGCGCCGCCCCCCCCCCCGTGAGCCGCGCCTCTTCACGCATGCACGCGTGGGCAGGCGGTCGTCTTCGACTCGGTGATGGCGGGCGTCGACGTCGTCAACTCGACCTCGTGCACGCTGCAGACCTTGGTCAAGGTGCGCGCTCTCCGCCGCGGCGGCGTCGCCGCCCTACCACCCCAACTTCCCTCCAGCCTCTGCAGCCCCGCCGGCCTCCAGCCCCGCCCGCCCTCCAGCCCAGCCTCGGACCGCCCCAGGTGCCGACCCTCACTCAACCCTAGCCCTGGCCCTAACCGTACCCCCTACCCCTAACCCTAACCGCCCCAGGTGCCCACCATCACGGTGGACAAGTGCGACGCGACGACTCTCATCCTTAACCGCGAGTCGCTCGACTGCGAGATCGTCTCGGCAAAGTCGTCTGCGCTCAACATCCAAATGCCGGGCAAGACGGACGAGGGCGGGTCCGCGGACGGGAGGAGCCTTCTCGGAGCCTTCTCGGAGCCTTCCCAATAGGCAAGACGGACGACGACGAGTTCAAGGAGGTGCCCATCCCGGAACAGTTCGTCTCCAAGTTCGACGGCGACAAGTGGACGACCGAGTGCATGGCCCACTCTGGCTAGCGTACAGGGAGGGGCGCCGGGGCCCCTTGCGGCGGGGCGACGGATGTGGACTACGCGGCCGGGGCTGCGGCTCGCCCCGGTCCTTTTACGTGTGCGGGGCCGGCAGGTGCGCTGAGGCGTGTGTTGTCAGCGTGCGCGGGGAGCCGGGCTCGTGGTGTGAGGCGCGCGAGGAGTAGCACTTGCGCCTGGGGCCCGGGGTGCGGGTTCGCGCGCGAGGCGAGGGGCAAAGAAAGCGTGTGCGTGCGCGCCTGGCGTCCTGCCGTGCGGCACTGTGACGCGCAGGGGGCTGCGCTGCTGTCAGTTCTTGTGGCCGCGCGCGGCGACGCGATATAAAAATAATGTTAACGATAATATACGTGTGACCCCCTGACCCCCTCCGTATTTAATACGTGTGATAAAAACAGAAAAGAGAAGAGAGACGCCCCCCCGCGCGCCGCGGCGCGCGGGGCGCGGGCCGCATCCCGCATGCACATGCGTCATGTCTCGCTCGTCCGCCGTCGGCCCTGCGCGCGCAAACGTGGGTTGTTGTGCGAGTATATGGGACACGATGTCTCAAATATGAGGGGTTTTGACTCCTACCGGCTCCTGACGCTATCCCTGGCAGCTCTAATGGCCAGGGTCAGTAGTGTTGTGATAGATGGTGCCCATACTAGCGCAGGAGCTGCCACACTCGCCCGGACCGTCCCCTTCTGGGGCCGGTTCCGCAGCCCGCGAGAGCCGACAGCGGGGCCGTGCCGCGGGTGCCTACTGCCGAGTGCCACAAACACTGCGCCGTCCCGCCATCACCTACAGGCTGTCTTGTGTGATGGTTGGGATGTCCAAACGCCACCATCTTGGCTCTTGCGACCTCAAACCCGCGAGCTGTATGGGTGGTCCTGACGTCGACAGACGCCCGAGGACCATGGTGAAGCTGAGCCGGAACGCGTCGACAAGTCTCGCCTGAGCCCGTGGCGGTCGCCGGCTGAGTCGCTGTGCACGGACCGGTACCTCAGGCGTCACCTCCGCAGCCTCAGGTCTCACACTCCATCACCTCCGCCGGGACGCCGTCGGTGGCACGCTCGGCGGCGTACTTTCTGCAGCTCCATCTCGAGTACGGCGTCGAGCCTACTCACTCCAGTTGGATACACGCACTCCCTGGGACCCAGGGAGTGCGTGTATCCAGCAAGCGGTGCGACCCGGCAGCGCGCGCAGGCTGCGGAGCTGCAACAAACTCGAGACACGCTTTTTTGGGACATTTTCGACGCTTTTGTCCCATATACTCGCACAACAACCCACGTGGTAATTGCGTCTAATAAATTGAAAAGATATTGAACACCCCCCCCGCGCCCCGGAGATTCCGCGAGAGAGCCGAGAGAGAGACTCCCCAGCGAAACGTCAGTACGGCTACGAGATACATTTTGAAAGCATTGGCCACACCTCGGAAATATGGAAGCAAAAGAGAGAAAAGTGTCGTGGCCCACGCGCCCCGCCGCAAAAGTACTCGGCGACACATTCGCCGACCCCGCGCCCCACCCCCCGTTGGTGAGCTGGGGCGACGTGCGCCGACGTGCGGTCTGGCGCCGGCTCACCACCGGTCACCAGTTTTCGTGCCGCTGCGCCTGCACCTGCTTCTCGATCTGCTTGAGGAAGCGGAACGAGCGCGACGCCTCGGCGCCCTGCACCTGCGTCGGCAGCGCCCAGATCGAGTCTGCCGCGCCGACGAAGAGGGTAGAGAGGGAGCTGCCGCCGAAGCGGCCAAAGCAGACGCCGGTTGCGGGCGCGGGCGTGCTGATCACGAGGCTCTCCTCGCCCTGCTCGTCGAAGACGCGCACGCCCTCGTCGACGCAGACGTACAGGTTGCGCTGCGGGGGAGGGGAGGGGGCAAGCGAGCGGTGAGAGCGGCAACGTGCGAGAGGGGCGTCACGGGGCGACGGGTCGGCGCTGTCGATGGGCGGTGGGCCGAAGCACGAGAGGCAAGCGGCGAGGGGGACAGCGGCCGGTCCCGGGTGGCAAGGGGCACGCCTGCGCGTCTGTCGCGAGCGCCGCGGCGTCTGACGGCGCCGTCGAGACGAACGGCTCCGGCGAGGCGGCGAGCCTAGAAGGCACGTCCACGCCACGGCGCGTCCAGGACGTGTCCGCGACGTGTCCCACGCGGGCGGGGACGGGAGGGGTCTGCGAGCCTCGCTTCGGCGGTGAGCGGCGCGCGCAACACGGCGCCTGGGAGCGAGTCGGCAGGCGGAGTGAGCAGGCGTGAGCGGGCGTGAGAAGGGCGCCCGGGACGTGTCTGAGAGGCGTGGCGGAGGTGGCTGGGAGACGCGTGGGACGTGTCTGGGACTTGTGGGAGGCTTGTGGGAGGCGTCCCGCCTCCGGCAGCAAAGAAGAGCTCGTCCTCGGTCGATGAGACGCAGAGGGAGCGGAGGGGTCCGCCGAGGGCGCCGTCCGGGAGGAGCTCGAGCGCCTGCCACTCGGGGGGGCGCCCTCCGATCCCGCCCAGCCCCTCGAGCCCCTCGTCCTGCTCGAGCAGCAGCAGCCGGCCGCCGCCGGAAGCGAGCAGGAAGCGGCCGCTGCTCAGCGCGAGGAGGCCGCCCGCGCCGTCGGCGCCGGCGACGGAGAGGACCGGCGCCGAGCCGCCCGCGTCGAGGTCGCGCACCCACACCTCGCCGCCGCCCACCGCCGCGAGCTCCGCCGGCGCGGAGACGGCGTGCGTCTCGACCGGCGCCGCCGCCGCCGGCTGCAGCTGCTGCGGCGGCGCGCCGCCCTCGGTCCACGCCCACTGGCTCCCGCCGGCGAGGAAGGCGAGCCGCTCGACGGAGCGCACCGCTTCCGCGTCGCCCGTGAAGACGTCGCTCGAAGGCACCCACGCCAGCTGCGACGGCCCGACGTCCGCCGCAAACTGGACGACGCGCTCCGCGGCGGCCTCCGGCGAGACGGCGGGCATCATCGGCAGGATCCTGGACAGCCGCACGGCCGGCGCGGCGCAGGCGGGATCGACCACCATGCCGAGAGGGGCGGAGAGGAGGAGCGCGGCGGCGGCGGCGGCGGCCATGTGTGCCGCGTGCACAGCGGAGAACCCAGCGCGGCGGCGGAACAGCCAGTGCGGGCGCGGATTTTTCTTTGAGCACTTGAGCACTGGATAGGGCCGATTCCGCGTGGTACGGGACCCCTCGATCGTCTCGCCCTCCCTCACTGGTATGTGATTTTTCTTTGAGCTTAGCCTTCGATGTTATGAACAAAAGTAAGGGCTCATGTTCGGCGGACATCTCTCGGGCCCACAGACATCCCGCACACCCGCCGGACGCGCGTTTTCTTTTGTGTGCGTCAGCGTTGTCGAGTGCGATTGCGCGCGCTATTAGTTAGTCCCCGAGGGTAAAACAAACAAATCTTGAGGCCGCGCCATGGGGGATCGACTGCCGTCGTGTTCCGCGAGCTCGACTCGCAAGTCATGCCGTCGGATACCCGATTGCCGGCAGGATGCCGCCCACAGCGGGGACTTGTTTGGTTCGCTTCTCTTGCGTCGTCGCGCACAGGAGGACAGATAGCGTTACTTCATGCGTTTGGTGAGAATTTCGAAAGGTGGCGCGTGTGCGCGCGCGCTCTGTGTGGTGCCCAGGCAGTCGGCCCAGCTAGGGTGAGGGGGCCTTCACCACTCCTACGAACTCTCACGAGGCACGTCTGATGAGGAACGATGCGCGGTGCGCGGCATGCCGTTTACTTGCGGGCCCGCTCAACGGAAAGTAAGAAAAAAAGTTGGGCCCAAGCCTCCCTTCAGGCCGCGACAGAGGAGAAAACGACAGGAGGGAGAACGACGAGAGTGGGACGACCGCGAGGTGGCATGAAGGTTGCAGCGAGAATCAGCGAGGCCGAGGGACTGCGAAGGGAGATAGAAAGAGGCAGACGACCAAGGGTTAGGGTGGGCGACGGCTAGGCGCTAGCACCACACTCCTCTCCTTAAAGTGGGATAGGGCGTCAGCGATCTGGGGCGCCGCCTGCAGATTTTTTTCTGTGAAGCAATTTTGCCGATGCTCGCCCTGACTTCCTGCTCCGGACCCAGCTTCGCCGCGCCGCTGGCGCCTGCGACGCGCGCGGCGCGCGGCGCGGCCTCGCCGACCATGGGCGTCGAGACCGAGCTTGGGGCGACCGGCCCGCTCGGGTACTGGGATCCGTTTGGCTTTGTGCGCCGCTGCCCGCGTTGCCCTTGCTCAAATTGGGCGGCCGATTGGCTAACCCGCCGCCTTGCCCCGGCCCGCAGTCCGTGCGCAACCCCGAGCGCTTCAACCGCTACCGCGCCGTCGAGCTGAAGCACGGGCGCATCGCCATGGCTGCCACGACAGGCGCCCCGCCCCCCGTGGAGAGCCCGCCGCCAGCTGCCTAGCACCCAGCGCGGGAGGCTGCGCCCTCGCCCCCTCGCCCTGGTCCGTACGTCTCCTCTCCCTCTCTCCGCCGCCTCCCTCGCCGACCGCCAGCGAGGGATTCGCCGCCGCCGCTGCCTGCGCTCCCGCCGTCCGCCGCCGCCCGCCCGCCGGCCAGCTCGCGTCTCGCGGCGGCGCTCAAGCTTGTCGTCCCCGCGCGTGCAGGCTACATGGTGCAGTCGTTCCTGCGCTGGCCGGGCTACCTGTCCACCTCGGCCAACATCAAGTTCGCCGACCTCCCCAACGGCATCGCCGCCTTCAAGGCCATCCCGCCCGCCGGCCTGTTTCAGATCCTGCTCTTCATCGGGGCGATGGAGGCCTTCACGTGGCGGTACTACGAGGGCCCGTGGCCGGGCAAGGTGCCCGAGGGCAAGGCGCCCGGCGACGTCGCGGGCGACTTGTGGGTGCGCTACACCGACCCCGAGGAGAAGGCCTTCAAGCTCAACGCCGAGATCAACAACGGGCGGGCGGCGATGATGGGCTCCCTCGGCACGCGACCATGCTGCGGGCCCGCAGCACGCCTCGCGCACGAGCCCCCGACCCCTCGAGCCGCCCCTCCGCCTCCCCGCAGGCATGCTGATGCACGACCACATCCTCGGCACGTGGGTGCCGCCCGGCTTCGAGTAGAGCCGCCGCCAACCTGCCGTTTCCCGGGAGGCCGCACGCACCACGCCGCCTTCCCGGCCGCGCCCGCCAGCCGGGGCGCGCCGCCGAGGCGACGCGCGCCCGCCGCAGTCTCGCTGCCCCCCCCCTTTCCCCTGCCCGGTGGGCGGAGCGGGGGGCGGAGTTGCTCGGGCGAGCGCGCACCCACACCATTTTACGCTCTGCTGTGATGAGAGACTTAGCATCCGGATGTGCACGCGCTCCACACACCGCATGTGTTGTTGTTTTGGATAGCGCGTAGAGGGACTTGAGAAAAATACGATTCCGACCGCGCGCAGAGGGCAGAGGCTAGAGCGCAGAGTCAGAGCGGGCCAAAAGCCAGAATTAGGCAGAGAGCACTCTGGCACAGCCACAGGGAGCCGCAGCACAAGGACGTAGGACAGGCACGCCCCCCTCTTTGGGCCAAATCGCTGTCCAAAGTTCGAGTGATGGCCAAAGATACACTTGACTATACGTTTCAAAGATATTTAAGCTTTATAACATTACACCGGTGTATCTTCCGCGAAGTGTATCTTCGAAGTTTAACGCGGTCCGTGAAGATACACCGCTTCGACCTGGAACCCGTGTATCTTCATATGAAGATACACCGCTTCGACCTGGAACCCGTGTATCTTCGTATGAAGATACACCGCTTCGGCGCGGAACCCGCATAAGTAAATCTCAGTGTATCTTCGGTGTATCTTCCGTCCGTCAAGATACACGGAGGAGTGTAACTTCTCTCTCATGACACGAACCTCCCTCCAGGGAACCTCCCAAAAAGGGGGGGCGTGCCGGTCCTTGCGGCGCAGCACCCACAGGGAGGCACATTACCACACACAGAGCGCCGTCGCCCCTGCGACGCAGGCCTCGGCAGCGGCATTCTCCAGTCGGACAAGTCCGACTGCCAGTCGGCACACGGCAGTCCGGTGTCCCTCAACGCCGCACCCGCGCCGCCGCGCGCACGCGCACCCCCACGGCACATAACGAGCGCGCGCGGGGGTGGGCCGCGGGGCCGCACCGGGCCAGCGGCGCAGCGGCTCTGGGGGGAGGCGAGGGCCCTAGGGGGTACCCGAGCGGGGGGGAGATGGGGTCCCCCAGCCCGCCGCAGGCGCCGCTTTTTTCGTATTTTTTTCGCGCATTTTTTACTTGTTTTCGGGAACTCTCGGCGTACTTGCGGCCATGCTATCACGCCTTGCGACATCCTTTCGGCGCTGCTGACCGTGCCATGCTGCTCAACTGACCGCCTGCATAGCTCGCGGCCTTAGTCTTCGGCATTCAGTGACGACCTGATCGTACGGCCAGTAGGAAGGTGTCCTTCCAGCGCGTGCACGCTCGCTTCTGACGCAATGCGCGTCACAAACTGCCTCGGATTGGCTGCTGGCACTCTCGAGGCTATGCCTACACAGCCTCGCGCGCATGGGCAGTCAAGAGGGACCATGCACCTTCTCAGGACAGCGCCGGTGCCTCTCTCTTGGACCGGCAAACGTGGTGGTCTCGTGTCACCGATGTGGGACCAGTGCGGCATCGCGCCATCGACAGCTCTGAACTGCGCCTCACCACTGACCGGGAAGGCCGCCAAGTGGGTCAGCACCGGTCGCACATTGTGGCAGCAGTCAGCAGCGCATGTCTGATAGCTAGAGCAGCAGCGTCAGGGTCGCAGGGTCGGATCGTGTCAAGCCTCTCGCCCGGCCGGCCGTGTGCAGACGTCGGCCTGTTTGCTGTCTGGAGTGATCTGTCGGCGGTCAGTACGACCGATCAGGTCGGAGTTTTCTGATGGTTGGAGGGTCTATCTGTATGTACTCCTCGAGATCTTTCCAAATCTGCCCTCTGATTAACCTAATCGGGAAGTTGGTGCTAGTAGAGACTAGTAGAGCCGGAGCCCCGTTTCCGCACTGCGGCGCGGCGCACGGTGCCTCCGGGGGCCCCCGCCTCCCCCCAGAGCGCAGCGGGTGTGCAGCGCGAGAAAGTTCCACGCGGAGCGCGGTCTCCGCCGTCCGCGGTCGAGGCTCGAGCCGGGGAGAACACGAGCGCGGGCTGTGAATATGGCTGTGAATACGACGTGTGTGTGCGAGCGGACGCGAGAGATAAAACCGAGTCCACACCGCAGTCACACTACTCACTAGCACTTCACTCAGCAGACACTCAGGCTCAGCAGAGCAGCGAGCCCGCTCCCTGCGCTGCGCTTACTATTCGATCATAGGTACATAGCAGGCTCTTACTGAAACCGCCAGATCGCCTGCCTCGCACGGCCGGCCGGGTCTGACGTGGCCCTCGGGCTGCGGTGGAGATGCTCCGCGTCCTTGTACACCAGGATCTCCTGCCCGCGGCAGTAGCGAGGCCTCACGATGTGCTCCTCGGTCACACCGAGGTCAGATGCAGCCTTCCTGTCCTGCTCACCCGTGCTGAGCCCGCGGTAGCTGTTCCTTGCCTTCAGCGACTCCGTTGAAAACTCGTGCGACAGCTGGACCAGCTCGGTGAGGATGCCCTCCCCCTCGTGAACGTCGTGACCACTTGCCCCGGCCGCAGGGAAGGCGAGCATCACCGTCCGGCAGGCGCCAAACGCGTACTGCAGATCGGCAGCGGCCCAGTCTTGGTGCCACTCCAGCGCCCCGGGCGGCGGCCGCTTGCTCTCGAACGACGTGAACCCTCCCCAGTGGTCTCCGCAGAGAGAGCTGATCGAGCTTACAAACTCGTCCGCGGTGGGCGCCCTGTCGCCGACGTGCTGCCTGAGCACGTCGCCTAGGCGTCCGCGACAGCCCTCCTCGTCTGACGCGGAGTCCGCGAGCGAGGTACCGATCTTGAAGAGGACCTTCACGTCGCGTGCGCAGCCGATCAGGGCGGTCCGGAAACTCCCAGACGCATGGAAGACCTCCGCGAGCGCCGGGCCGAATGTGTCCGCGAGGCTGACGAGCTCGTACCGTGCGGTGGCGGCAGGGCCCTTGAAACTATCGAGCGCGCTGGGGACGCGCAGCACGAGGCCCGCGCCCATCGCCGTCGGCTGCTCGGCCGCTGTGCCGGACACTCCCGCCCACCCGTCAATCGGGTTCAACGTGATGGCCTGCGTGCCGCCGACGTGTGAAGCTGGCGGTAGCCCGACGAGGCACAAGAGCATTCGTGCACGACGCCTATGCGCCGGGCGATCAGCTAACCGATCGTTTCGCAGAGCCGCAAAAAAAGTAAACTGACCGTGCGGTTGCGTGAGCTCGTTAGACTTGAGGGGCCGGGATATGGAGCTGCGCCGAAAGGCGAAAGAAGCCGCGAGAACAAGGGACCGGCAGGCGGCGGCGGCGTCGCTCGCAGAACGAGGCAGAGGAGAGCGACGCGACAGAGAGAGGAAGAAGTGACAAGGGAAAGAACGACGAGAGTGGGACGACCGCGAGGTGGCATGAAGGTTGCAGCGTGAATCGGCGAGAGACTGCGAAGAGAGATAGGAAGAGGCGGTCGCCCAAGGGTGGGCGACGGCTAGCGCATCACACCCCTCTCCTTAAAATCCCTGTGTGGTGGCGGCGTGCCGTCCTCCATCCCTCCCTTGGCTTGCCCGTTTTCTTTCTTTCTTTTTTGATGACTGCACTCCAAGTGCTCCAAGTGCTATTCTCTCGCGCGCGCGCGCGCGCTCTCTCTCTCTCCTTCTCTCTCTCCCTCCCTCTCTCTCTCTCTCTCTCTCTCTCTCTCTCTCTCTCACTCATTCACTTCTCACACACACACACACACACACACACACACACACACATGTACATGTTGTTGTGCATGTACATGACATGGAACATGTGCATGCCACATGTCACATGTCATGCACAGTGTGTGTGCCCCCCGCAATCTACTTACAAAACGGGTCCTTCTCAGCCGCCAAAGCGAGATCACCCGAGAGCAGCTGAGTCTGCCTCTGGCCTCGCCTCCCTCTCCTTCAGTCAGGCAGTCGTGGCATCCCTATGGGCCGTCCAGAGTATCGCGACCTCTGGCTTGTGTCAGCCGGTCACTCTTGATGTATGTGACCAGCATCGCCGGCTCGCTGGCCTCTCCGCAAGGCCTCTCCCCTCGACCGCGCGGGCTCTCTCGGCTACGGGACCGGCCCCAGCTTCGGCTGAGGGGGCTGACAAGCTGCCGAGCCCAAATCACTGTTAGAGTCGTGATTTCTTGTGTTGGTTTTCAAATCGCTCTCTCTCTCTCTCTCTCTCTGCTCTCTCTCTCTCTCTCTCTCTCTCTCTCTCTCTCTCTCTCTCTCTCTCTCTCTCTCTCTCTCTCTCTCTCTTATGTGACGAGGCACGGTAGCCGCCGCGGCCCCCGCCCCGGTAAGGCGACTGGCTCTACTTTTTTGCAAGCTTGCAAGACGGCGGGAGGAAGTGGTCGTTCTTCGTTCTAGCTAAACCCCGCCCTTCCTTCTGCCTGCCGTGTTGTCGAGAATGCACACACGATCCGGCAAGTAATCTACATCAGGAAACACGGAGGTCGGCCATCGTTGTCGAGGGCGAGAGCTTCAGCTTGACCTCGAGCGCCCTCTTGGGCTTGGACGCCTCGCGCAGCTGCGGGCTCTTGTCCAGGCGGCCGACGAGCGAGGCGAGGATGCGGCGGGGCCCCGAAAAGTTATCGCGCGAGTGCATCACCGTCGCATTGTCGATGAGGAGCGCGTCGCCCGGCTCCCACCGGAAGGCGACCCTCTCCCTCTCCATGAAGGCCGCCACCTCCCGCAGCGCCTCCCTCGTCGCGCCGTCGAGCGGCGCACCGTCTCCGTAGATGAGGGCCTTCGTAGGGCACACGCGCTCTGCGCCGGCGCCCGAGGTCGCCCGTGCCGTCCCGTCGTCCTCTTCGTCCGCCACGCGGTTAAACGTCGACTCGGCCGCGGTGAAGAAGACCTCGCGCCCGGTGCGCTCCTCCACCAGCAGGGCGGGGACGGGCTTGGTCACCACATGCAGCATCCTCGAGCCGTCGGGGTGGGTGAGCCACTTGTACGTCGCACCGTCGGCGTCGAGCTTTCGCTCCGCGGCGTCGGCAGTCGGAGCGACGCAGATGCGCCACGATTTGCCGAGAGCGGACGACGGGTCAGTCTGCTCCGGCATCACCCTCACGTACCGCACGCCCAGCGTCGCGAGCTTCTCGGCGACCGCTGGGTGCCTCTCGCGCAGAAAGCGAGCGGCGTGGTGGGACTGGACGATCGGCGTCGCCCCGCCCGTCGTCGCGCCGCGCTCGCAAAAGAAACAAACCACCGAAGGGGGCGAGTCGCACTGCGCCATCTCGTGGTGGAATGGGATCCTCTCCGACGGCGGAGCCTCGTTTGCGGTGAAGACGACGGCGGCCCTGTGCGATGCCACGTCCGTGCGGGATCCCGCAGAGCAGCGCATGTCAGACATGGGGATAGAGATGGAATCTGCGAGCTCGGCAAAGTCCGCTGCATTAGCTGCGCCCCAGCCCCGGAGGAGGACCGAGCCGTGCGAGTGGAGGAGTCGCAGCAATAGCCCGCGGTGGTTGTGAACAAATTGGCGGCGGTCGGCGAGGGTCGCTGATGATGGCACGGCGGGCCCAAGCGCGAGAGGAAAGACCTTTCCATCCTGAACTCGCGCCTCTGGCAGAAAGACCGGCTTGACGAGATGGTTCACGCCGTGCAGATCGATAGCGGCCTGCGCCTCGGCATGCCAACGGCGACGGCGCATGAAGCGGTCAATCAGGACTGCTGCGGCAACCGCCAACGAGATTGGGGCCAGCACAACCGAGCCACGCATCGTGAAGGCGATAAGGCGATAGTCCACCCGCCGGCCGCTCGCTCGGAGTACCTGGTAAAATTCTGAAGTTCCGAGGGGTCGGGGCTGCTGTCGCTCGTTCCAAAAGCAACACTATAGACCTAAGAGAGATGTGGGATCCTATCGACGGATCTTCTCTGGCTTCCATCTCTGCTTCTCCCCCCGCATGGGTGCGCCCAAGGGTTAGAGCACATAGGGTTCCCTCACCCACTCTACAGAGATTACACTTTGCCCCAGACCAGCTCTCAGACTCAGTAGAGTGAGAGAGAGACTCTCTCTCTCTCTCTCTCCAGCCAGTCTCAGTCAGGGAAACTCGTATCCTCAAAACTCGTATCCTCTTAGGAATGGAGGAGAAGAAAAAGAAAAAAACATCGGCGAAGGTCAGAGAAGCATCCTGCCGTCTTCAATGTTGGCAAGGCTCCTCCTCGCGCCGCCACCCGGCACCGCGGTGCGATGTGCTTCGCAACCAGTCATGCTCTTCGGCGGCGAGGAGCCCTGGCTTGACCGGCAGAAGCGGCAGAGGCGGCATAGGCGCGGATGGGGCGAGCCCGAATACAGCAGGATCGGGCCCATGCGCGGCGGGGGCTTCCGCGACCGCTGCTACGGCGACTACGAGTCTCTTGGGCCGTGGGGTCCTACCGACTACAACGGCTTTGGCGACAGCCGGCGGCTCCCGCCGCGCGACAGCGTTGGCGACCGCCGGTTTCGTGAGCCTTTTCGCGGCGGTCGCGGCGGCTTTGACGGTGGCGGATTTCGCAAGCCGTACCCGCCAACAGCTGTCGATGCCGCTCGGGAAAGGCTCGAGGCCGCAAAGTCGTCGGCGGTCGCGGCCCAGGAGGCGGCTCGCTGGGCGCAAGAGGAGGAGACCGCGGCGCAGCAGGCGCTGTGGGCGGAGGAGGCGGCCGAAAAGGTGCGCGAGGAGGAGATGTCCAACCTCGAGCAGGTGGCCCTCTCCGCGAGAGAGCACGCCGAGGCCTCGTCGCGGGCGGCGGCCGCGGCTGCGTCCACCGCCTTCGAGGCGGAGCAGATGGCCACCGAAGCCGCGCTCGCCGCCGGTCCTGGAGAGGTGAGTCGCTGCCACCCTTGCCACCACCGTCACTCCAACCCACCACACGCCACCCGCCACCCGCCGCCCTGACCACCGCAGGGAGCGTGGCGCTCTCCGCGCCGCCTCTCGGGCGCGCCGCGGCGGCTCTCCTCATCGCGCGCGAGCAGCTCCTTCCAAGAGCCGCTCTACCCGTACGCGGAGCGCGGCTACTCGGCCTCCGGCCCCTCCGGCCAGACCTCCGCGTACTCCTCCTCTTACGGCTCCTCCTCTTACGGTGCGGCGCCGCAAACCAGCGGCGGGGTCGGCATGGGCGCTTCGTCTGGCATGGCGCCGCCAGGCGGCATGGCGCGGCCGGCGATGGGTTCGCCGATGGGCTCGCCGATGGCGCCCCAGAGCAGCGGCGGCATGCCACCACGGCCTGGGATGGGCTCGCCGATGGCGCCCCAGAGCAGCGGCGGCATGCCACCCCGGCGCGGGAGCCTAGATGTGCAGACTCCCTCTCCCTGTGCTCCAACCGGCACTTGCGAGCATACATCTGTTGTTCCCCTAATTGACTCCTCCAGTCGCGGTTCACAACTTGTATTCACATCCGGACCCCTTGTGCGTTAGGCCCGGGATGCCATCGCCGTTGGGACCACAAAGCAACAACGGGCTGCCGCCGCGGCCAGGAATGTCATCGCCGATGGCGCCGCAAAGCAGCGGCGCCATGCCCCCTGCGCCCGGGGGCATGCCGCCGCGGCCGCAGATGCCGCCCCAGAGCATGGCTCCGGCGCCGAGTGGCGGCCCCGTCTACACGCGATAGGCGTGCCCCCACCACACGGAACCACCCCTCGTGGTCGTTTCATCTCCTTTCCTGTGTTTGCGTTGTTGTGCGTGGCCAGTGGTTTTTCTCAGCGAGTTTTCTCTCCCTTTCGCGGCCAGGGGGATGTCAGGCTCAGCGTTACAGGCTGATTCACCCCTAGCCCTAGCCCTACAGGCTAAAGCGTACAGCGCGCGGTCAGCGATGACGAGAACACGACGACGGGTGAGATCAGCGACTAGAGACACCGGTCACCGCTCCTGCGCAGCTCCACAGAGAGCCTTGGGGGGTGCGCTAGGGTTGCGGGCTGGGCTGGCCTGGGCTGGCCACGCCTTGCTTGGCAAGAGCTTGGCCCGGGGCCCCGCGGCTCGCTTAAGCAAGGCTATTACTGTCCGTGCACCGTGGCCCGGCGGGCGCCCCCCTGCGTGGCTATAAACAAGGCTATTACTGTCCGCCGGCGACTAGCGGCAGAGACGCTGGAAGACAGCCCAAGCGGGTTCATGCCTGATGACTCCGCGGCGCGGCCGCTTAATGCATCAGCGGTGCTGTGCCGGCGCCGCCGCCGGCACTGAGACGAGCGCCTCTGAGGCTCAGCGCCGAGGCCAGGAGGGCGCTGGTCGCAATCGACGCCAACATCCGCACGTGGTTCCATCGCGTCCACGACGTGAAGTACTTGGCCCAGACGGTCGCGTCGTTGCCGCTGCCTGTCACCACGTAGCGGGCAAGGGCATCGTTCTTTGGGACATGCACGAAAGCGGTCAGCAGAAACTCGCCGACGAGGAGCAGCAGCGCGCCCGAAGCGGCGAGCGTGTGGTCGGGCGATCGAATGCCCTCCTTGACGCACCGAAACAGCACATAGCAGCAAGCGAGTGGTGTGCCCATGAAGATGAGGAAAAAGGGCGGGTTGATGATGGCTTCGTTGATGCTGTTCATCACGTGGATGGCCGTCGCCGGAGGCTGCGTGTTGAGAGCCTGCATCACGCAGAAGGAGAAGATGAAGTACAGGCCACCAAGCAGACCTGAGCCCACTATGCCCGCCAGCATAGCAGCATTTGCAGCATCTGCCGCTGCCATCACGACTCGCACCCTCCTCGGTACCAATCGACTCGCTGCACACAAGATTCGTGAGACGTGCCCGCTGCGAAGGAGCAGAGGCGTCGCCGCTAGCAGAGCAGGCGACAGGCGCGGCGCGGCGAGGAGGTGTGTGGCAAGGAGAGTGATGGTGAGTGCTTTTCAGCCGAGTCGGGGGCCGGACCGGCTTGGGCCTGGCCATCGAGACCTCGAGAGAGGCCGCCCGCAGGACCCAAGGCGAATTGGCTTTCTTTGGCGGGCAAGGACCGGCAAAATCAAAAAAGAAAGTACCGAGGCGTGACAGTCGCCCGGGGGGGGCATCAGCCAGAGGTCTTCCTCCTTCCGATTGGGCTGGTTCGCCACCGCCACGGCCCACGCCATGTTCAGACCGGTTCCAAACCCGCCGGTGCGGTGTGGAGAGGGGCGGGCTGCTACATGTACATGTAAGTGGGCTGCTGATGCTGTGATTCTCATGTTGTGATCCTTGTTGGAGCCGGCGGGAATCTGTCCTTGCCCTCTCTTGCCCTTTTTTAAGGCCGGCGAGCCAGTGGGCAGTGGGGTGGCGAGCCGTCTCACCGGAGGCAGAGGATCCGCGACCGTCCCCTCGCGTCGCGGAAGCGCGGAGCGCGGAGCGAATAATCGACATAGGCGGACGTGTCCACAGAGGACCACACCTGTGGAGCGCTGCGGTGAGAGGGGACCTCACAGGGCGTCGGCCGCACACAACCGTGCGCCACCCACTCGCCTGGCATGCGCACGTAGGATATGTAGTACACGTTTGTGCTCTCGTTAGATTCGCCGAGACACAGAGCTAAGTACGAAACCAGCAATGGCACCCACTACCATCCCCAAAATAGCTGACCGGACGCGTTCGCGGCGGGACGTGAGGGCACGCTGGGCGTGAGTGCGCGCAACGGCCTCGAAGGCCGCTCGCACGGCTGCCGGCGCCCCGCCGTTGTAAGCCTCGTACCTGCGCAGGCCAGGAGCCACGGGAGCCATCCCGCTTCGGAGAGGGCTCCGCTAACATGGGAAGGTGCTATCTTTGCACACCCGAGCTGCTCCAGGAAGGCTCGACCCTTGGCTGCGCGCCCGCCGCCAGTGCAATGGGTAATGATGGGATGGTCATGGCTCTCTGGCACGCCCGCTGCGCGGAGTTTTGCCACAAACTCCTCGAGGGTGGTTGGCCGCTCTGTTTGTGTCTTCCCGTCCACGTTGAGCGGGCAGTGGATTGCGCTCGACAAGGTGTGGCCGCCCTTGGCTTGCGAAACCTCACTCGGGTCCCGAAGGTCCAAAATTATTGCGTGACCAGCAATCGCCTTGAGCACGCACACTTCTGAGAGAGGGATCACCCGCCCGTCGGGCTTCACGACGGCTCTCGGTGCGCAGTCGCCCTCATCGCACTCGGGATCGCTGCGGGCCCACTGCGATGGGCGCAGGTTGGTAGGGTCGGAGCCGACGATGGTTTTTGTCCCTCCCATAGAAGAGAGAAGGTCAAGAAGCGGGGCGCCGTATGCCGCGGAGTTTCTCCGCGGATCCAGCGGAGGGGACGGCCGAGCACCCGTTTTGAGCGTTTTTCTTCCTATTGTTTCTTTTTTCGTTTTCCTCTTTTCCTTTTTTGAGAGCGCCTTCGTTGTTAATTTCCTTTTCCAGGCTGACCCACAGGCTGTGCGCGCAACGCGGCCGGGCGGGTGAGAAGGCAGAAGGCTCGCCAAGCACCGCTCAGCGGCGAGGGGGAGGGCGGCGGCGGCGGCGGCGAGGCGCGAGGCGGTGGCAGCGGTGGTGCGGACGGCGGGATTGACAGGGGAGGCGGCGGCCACGAGCGGAGCGGCGGCGAGAGGGGGGCAGCGGCGAGGCGCCGGCGAGCGAGGCGCCCGCGCCATGTCAGAGGGACGCCGCCGCGAGATGGAGGGCGGCGGTGACGGAGGCGAGGGGCGAGGCGGCGGCGGCGGCGGCGGCGGCGAGAACGGCGGCACCGAGTTTGTCTCGGTGAGCGGAGCGGCGGCGGGAGGAGGAGCAGCGGCGGCGCTCTCGCTGTTTGAGCGATGTTTTGAGCCTGGGATCCCATGTCACTGCGACCGGCGTGCCCGGGAGCAGAGATCGCGCGCGCGCCGCATTCACGACGCGCGCGCGATCTTCGCGGAGTCGGGTCCCCAGAGGGAAGCGGTCTTTTCGGCCGACGTCCAGCGGCGCACAAGGAAGCAGGCGCAGCGCCGGCGGTGTCGCGCTGAATGGGGGCCAGCAGGGAGCAGTGGCGAGGGGCGGCGGGCTCGGACGTCCACCGAGTCGCTCCGCGCGGCAGGCGGAGCGCGCGCGCGGGCCAGGAAGCTCTCGGCAGGCTGCAGAGGACATCTGCACTTATTGCGGGGCGGGCGGGGCGGGCGGATCCACTTTGTATTCGCCACACGCCCTGGCCGGCCTCCCTACCGGTATAAATACGGCGGAGGTATTCTTTTGGCGGCCTTGAACGAACGATGTCCATGTGCGACCAATCACATGGGAGAACGACACACATACGTCTCAACAGCTCAGTAGACAGTACCAATCTGGGCACAGCCACAGGCCACAGTACTACTAGTATCTACGAGTAGCCGAGAGGGCACGCGCTTCACACTGCAAATGGTTTAGGCAGGCTCCCCCAAAGCTCCGCCGGGTGTGTCCCACCGAGCACCGTTGCCTCACTTGGCCGCGTTACCTCACTCGGCCGCGGCCGCCGGCAGCGTTCTGTTCCTTCTTCTTGTCGTAAACCTTGTCAAACTGCTCCTGGCTCTTCCGCCGCGCCGGCGTCTCGGGCTCCTTGCCGATGACTATCCGCTCCGCTCGCGCGCTCACGCCGCCACCGCGGTAATCGCGGCTGAGCTTTCCGAGAAAGCCGCAGCGCAGCAGATCATCAAAGGGCTCCTCGCGCGGCACCACGCTGAGCATCGGCTCCTCGGCCTTGGCGCCCATCAGCGACTCTAGCAGCGAGGGCGCTGGCGGGCGAATGGCCCAGGCGAGCTCCACGGGCTCGGCGAGATCGATCCACAGCCGGTTCGTCTCGAAATCGTTGAGGCACTCGTACGCCCAGCGCTCGATGAGTGGTCGCTGCTTCGCCACCGCCGCCGCCAAGTCGCTCACGGACTCACACGCGACCACGCCGATGTTGCTCCAATGCGGGACGGTGCTCGTTTGCCTTGCAAACACGCCCGCCTCGACGCTGTCCTTGTCCTTGGGCGCCCACGCTCGCAGGTCGAGCGACGTCTTTGGTAGCGCCTTACTCGGCATCAACGAGAAGTAGGCCTCTCGCTGCGCCGCCGCGCACGCCTCACTCACTTCAACGAGGGCGAGGAGCGGCCGCCCGACACGCACCGGCGTGACGAGCGGAGAGGTGTCGATTCTGAGGCCGTTGAGCGTGGCCGGGGCGAGCGCCGAGATGCAGGCAGTCGTCAGGATCGCGACGGGCGGCAGCATTGCGAATGAAGTGCGCGCAAGAAGAATTCTTGGGAATTTGCGCCACGGCGCTGCATCATGTACTACCGCTCCACGCCAAAGCGCGGCGACGGTGCTCGCCGGCGCTCGCGTGCCTTCGGTGCTCGGGCGCGCTCACCGTTGTGGTTGTTCAGGGCGGCTCGCACAGCGCCCGCACACAACACACACACACACACACACACACACACACACACACACACACACACACAAATCACACACACACACACACACACACACACACACACACACACACACACACACACACACACACACACACACACACACACACACACACACACACACACACACACACACACACACACACACACACACACACACACACACACACACACACACACACACACACACACACACACACACACACACACACACACACACACACACACGCACGCACGCACACACACACACACACACACGCACGCACGCACGCACGCACCTACCAACGCACACATGCACACACACACACACCATGCACAGACACACATCCCCTTCGAAGTCCCCTTCCCCCCCAAGACCCTCAAGGACGAGGACACGCGCAGGCCGCACATCTAGCGAAGCCCACAGAGAGGGAGACTCCTACCACCGCACCTGCCACCCTCGGCGCGTGAGCCTCGGCCGCCTCTGTCACTGTGCCTGTGGTAGTGAAAGAGACTGCCAGCGAGGAAGCTGGAGGTTAGGTCGCTAGACTGAGATGAGACCGCCAGTGGAGTTGGGAGTCCACCGAGCACCGCGCTGCGAGCCTGTGTGTCGTGTCCCTTGGCAGTGGCAGGAGAACCCCCCTGTGCCCTTGATCGTCCTTCCAAAATCCTGCTCGTGCTCCTCCCATCCCTCATTTGGGTTGTCTGTTCTCTTTCGTGGTGAGCCGGTGTGTGTGCCAGTCCGCGCCAGTCCGCGCCCTTGTCGTGCCAGCGTGCTGTGAGAGAGGCTTGTATTTTAAGAATTCTTTCTTGCGCCCTTGTCGTGCCAGTGTGCTGTGATAAATAAATAAATAAAAACGGACACCTCTCTACTGTGAGATGGGTAAAAAGGAACAGGCCCCCGTAGTGTGCTGTGAGAGAGGCTTGTATCTTAAGAATTCTTTCTTGAGCACTTGAGCACTGGATAGGGTCGATTCCGCATGGTACGGGCCCCCTCGATCGTCTCGCCCTCCCTCACTGGGGTGTTCATTGGGGGGGTCCATAACAAACACGGTACAGGATCGAGGTGCACGCTGCCGAAGCAGTGTCGTCCCCCCTCTCCATCGTCTCACTGGGAGACGTCGGCGGTGGTGGCGGTGTGACCGATCGAGCTACAAGAGGAGCTTGTTCGCGCTGCGCTAGCTAGGCTGAGACTACCCACCCTGGAAATTACGGCTTGAGGGTAAATAAACGTTCGACGTATCACACAGCACACTACACACCTTACACACACAGCTAGAGAGAGAGAGAGAGAGAGAGAGAGAGAGGACTAGGTCCAGCCCTGGGTGGCGCAAGATCTGAGGTTTTGTGACAATCCTCAGATCCGTGTTTTTCTCGTTGTTTTGTCGCTCGCTCCGCTCGCCACCTCACGCTCCGTAGCCCGGCCATGGCCAGTACCCCGCGTCTCAGTGAGACGCGTGGTACCATCCAACTCCGGTCGACGGGCTCGAATGCGCTCAGCCTCAGGAGGGACAAAACCGCGCGAATTCTGCACGCCTCGCTGCACCGCTGGCTTGACTGAATCAGGCAGCAGCAGGCTGCTGCTGCTGCCACAGCAGCAGTCTGCTGCGGCCCTAATACGCAAGTTGATGACTAGCAGCACTGCCGGGGGCATTCGAGCCGCCACAGCCGGTGTGCTGTGCACTGCCACCTGCCCGCGGCTACGCACAATGTGCGCTCGCATTGGATGAGCCCTGCTGATGGACCTGCATCGCCTAGCTGCACGAGAGCAATGCCGCAGGCAGTGGCCGTGGCATACACTGCGAGCACACTTGGTGCAGCTGCGAGGTGCAGCAAGAGCACGTCGTTCCTGCCTCTGATGCCACTCTCGCGGCTTGCAGCGCGTCACTCGCGCATGCTCTCCAGGAGCTATGGCGGGCGCGTGTGTGGGGCTGTAGCCTGTGTTTGGCCGGTTCTGACCCGTTTACTATCAGTATCATGTCCGGGCCACAAAAAATCGCACACGGGTAGCGGCTCAGGGGCCCAGTAAGTCGCGGAATCGCCAAATGTCACAACCTGCGCCACCCAGGGCTGGACCTAGTCAGAGAGAGAGAGAGAGAGAGAGAGAGAGAGAGAGAGAGAGAGAGCCCATGACTTAGTTGGTATAGTACCCACCTTCACATAAAAATGTTTCTTTTTTTAGGGAGGTTTTGCGGAATTTCGAGGCCGGCCGAAGAGAGGCGCGGGTAAGTTGGTTTGTTTAAGGAAAAGAAAGAAAAAGACCTACGCACCTTGTCTCACGGCCGCCGCCCGCCTCACCCGGCTAAAAGACATGGCGCCTGCCCGCCACCGCCCGCTCACCCGCCTCGCGCTCGCCGCCGCACCCGCCACGCTCGAGCTGCCGTCGCGCCCCCGCCCCGCCCTCGCGCGCCGCGCGGGCGCGCTCCACACACCCGCGCGCCTTCACCGCCAAACCGCCGCGCCGACTCCTCTGCGCAGAGCCAGCAAGAGTACGACTACGTGTTCAAGCTCGTGCTCATCGGCGACTCGGGTGTCGGAAAGTCTTGCCTGCTGCTGCGCTTCGCTGACGACACGTACACCGAGTCGCACATCAGCACCATCGGCGTGGATTTCGTGCGCCGCCGCCGCGCCCGCCCAGCTGTCCGGCTGCGGCGCTGTGCTCACCCAGGATGCCCACCGCGTCGCAGAAAATCCGCACGATCCAGCTCGAGGGCAAGACCATCAAGCTGCAGATTTGGGACACGGCGGGGCAGGCGCGCGCGCGCCCATTTCCAGATTCCGTTTGACGCAGAGAGACACGTCAGTAAAAGACGTGCAGTCTGCCGGCGCTGATCGCGCTTCCGTCACCGCGCAACGCAGGAGCGCTTCCGCACGATCACGAGCAGCTACTACCGCGGCGCGCACGGCATCATCGTGGTGTACGACACCACCGATGCCGAGACCTTCGAGCACGTGAGTTGGCCCGGCCCTCAGTGTCCTGCCACGTCCTGCCGCATCAGCACGTGCCTCTCCGTCGCGTGAGGGTGGCGCGCCTTGAACGCTCGCCCTCCCTGCCTCTCCGGACGGCGCAGGTCAAGACGTGGCTGCACGAGATCGACAGGTATGCGTCGGAGAACGTCAACAAGCTCCTCGTTGGCAACAAGTCCGACCTGACATCGAAGCGCAGCGTCGAGACGGAGGCGGCAAAGGAGTTTGCGGTGCGCGGCGCCCCGCATGCCAAACCCCGCGCGCCAGCTCTCCCGCCCTCCCGTTGGGTCGGCGCTGCGCGCCCCACCTTCCCGATCCCCTCCACTTCCCGCCTCCTTCCCCCCCCCCACCCCCCCACCCCACCCCACCCCCTCCCTTCCTCCTTGCTCGCCCCACCCGGCTTTTGCCGTCCGCCGGGCTCGCCTGCGCCGGGCACGCTCGCCCGAGACAGCTAGACCCCCTGCGCCTCGCCGCACGCCGGCCGCGCCTGGCTCACGCCGCACCCCCCTCCCCCCACCCGCCCCTTCACCTCCGCGCAGCAATCTGTCAACATCCCCTTCCTCGAGACGTCCGCCAAGAATGCAAGCAACGTCGAGGACGCCTTCATGTGCATGGCGACCGAGATTAAGAAGCGCATGGCCTCGGCACCATCCAACGAGCCGTCGCGGAAAATCAACATGAAGGCTGGCGAGACCGTGAAGTCGGGTGAGCGCCGCCGCCCACACGCCACCGCCGCGCCCTGCTCCTGCGCTCCCCGGCGTTTCGTTGTAGCCGCACCAGCCGCCGCACCCGCCGCGAGGCGCATCACGCAGGGCCGACCGCCACCCCTGCTTCCGCGCCGCTCCACCCCACTCGTGCGCGCGCCTCGGCCTCACCGCCGGCGCGTCTCCCCTTGTCCAGGCGGGGGCTGCTGCTAGAGGCGCGCGGGGAGGGGCGGCCGGCACCGCGGCGGCAGGCGGCCCCAGCGAGGCTTGCTGCGCGAGCCGCCGCTGCGGCCCGCAGGGGCGTGGGCCCCTACGTAGGCTCCTAGCCGCGTCTTACGTTATGTGTCAATCCGTGCTTCGAGGTGCAGTGGGAGGGTTGTGATTGCGCTGCGGCGGCGCGGGCGAACAGGCAGCCACCGGCCGGGGCTGCTCCTCCTTGTACGCCATGTGTGGAAGGGTCGGGGAGTGGCGGCGGGGCGCCGCCGCTCTGCGCGCGCGCGCGTCCCGCAGGCTCTCGCTCTTTCCTCCTCCCCCTCCTTGGGGGAGAGCCCCATCCGGCGCTCCCGGCGCGCGCGCGTTTTCGAGCGCCGTTTTCGAGTTGAGAGCCGCCTATGTGTTTCCAGCCGCCGCGCTATCGATCTTTTTTGTAATGTTAACTCCTACGCACAAAGTGGTCGACGCAACCCCGGACTAGCGAATCCCAGCGTGCATCTCGCGACCTATCTGCGCTGGGGCCTGGGCACTCTCCCCGGTCTCCCCGCGGCAGACGCCAAGACCCCGCCCCCGCCCGCGCCCCGGCCCCGCGCACACTTGCCCTAACTGCACACAGGGAACGCGACCCACACAAAGCCCCAAAGTAGGCATACCCCCCCGGCGCAGTGTCCCCCGCTATGTGTCACCGTTTGTCGGGGCACGCTAACTCCTACGCACAACACATGCAGCGCCTTACACCTCATAGGCTAGAGTTGCGCCGCGGCTCATACGCCCGCGCGCGGACGGCCGCGCGGCGCGAATGAGCATCCGCCCGTCCGTCCGCGCCGCCGCCGCCGCCGGCGGCGGCGGCGGCGGCGGCGGCGCGGTCCGCCTCGTCCAGCTCCCGCGTCGCGCGCAGCGCGCCACAGAGCTGGCCGGCACTGCTCCGCACGTGGCTGCTGCCCGTGGCGGCCACGGCCTCCGACCACGCCGCGCTGTAGGACGCCTGCGCTCAGCCCAAGCGGCGTCAGCCTCGGTCGGCCTGCCTCAGTAGGAGGAGAGAGGGGCGGGAGGGCGCGGCGCGCCTCGAGGGAGGAGAGCTGCGGCAGCAGCTGCTCTATCTGCGCGCCGCACGACCCTCTCTCGGCGGCCGCCTCCCCGCTCCGCCGCGCCATGGCGGACGCCTCGTCGAGCGCAGAGGCAAACGCCTCCCCGTCGGCAGCCCAGCCAGCGTGGCACTTGACGGGCCGAAAGTGGCCGCCGTCGCGCAGCGCGTGCAGCGCGGCGAAGCCGTCGGCGTGCCGCGCCTCGCGCAGCTCCTGCGCGAGCAGTTCGAGGGCGGGCCAGTCCACCTCGGCGATGGGCACCTGCAGTGTCAAAACAGAGCCTCCTCTCTTTCGGCGTCGACGCACGGGGACTGCGGCTAGGCTCATGGGCACCGCCGCGGGCGGGTCACAAGGCTGCGCCACGTGCAGGCTGTAGCACAGGAACAGGCCGCCGACTCGCGCCTCGAACGCCGCGTTGACGCGCGGCTGCATGTGGCGCGCGACGGCGCGGAGCAGCAGCTCCACCCACTGCGCGTCCGTCTCGTCTACGGCGGAGATGCGGCCGCAGCGCTCTCGCATCCCGAGCAGCCGCCCCGGCCGCAGCGTCCTCCAGATCTCGGAAAACTCAGCAAATCCGCTGCCGCCGCCGGCCGCCACCGCCTCGGCAAAGCGCCGCACGCACTGCTCAATGTCGTAGAGCACCTGGGGCTGCAGCGGCGCCCAGGATACCAGGCCGGCAGTGCCACGATGCGGACCGCGAAACTGCCGGCCGCCTCGCTCGCCCTTGGTCGGCATACGAAGGCGCGCCCAGGCGTTCCCGCCAAAAGAATTTCTTAGGGGGAAGCCTCTCTCCCAGCACACTGGCACGACAAGAGAAAGCCGGTTGTACCTGGGGGAGGGCCCGGGCACAGGTTCGGGGAAAAGGGCCCCTGCGCGAGGGCCTATGCGCGCTCGCGCTCAGTGCTCCACCTTTGCAGGAAGAGGCGCCGCAATCGGCGCGGCCCGTTCCCCGGGCTGTGTGGGCATCTGCCGGCGTCGGTCAGTCACCGGCCGAGAGGCGCCGCGGGTGAGGCGGCGCGGCTGCATTTTGAACGCGCCGCACTGACCCCGTCGAGAGGCGGCGGCCAGCACCGCTCTTCGGCCGCCACGACAGTAATGCCCCAGCCGAAGCCCCAGCCGACTCCGCGTGAACTCTCGAGGGATCTCGAGTTGCGGTCCCCGCTGCTCGGTGTACGAACTCTGTTCACAGACCTTGTTATTGACAAGAAAATACGTCCTATGGCGCTTTGCGCTGGTCTATGAGACTTGAGAGGTTGACACCGAGCAGCTGGGAGTGGCTGCGGCTATAGCAGACAGTCGGCATTACGAAGGCGGAGGGGCTCAAAAGAATTCGCGCCAAAAAATATTAACAACGAAGGCGCTCTCAAAGAAAAAAGCTCTCTAAAGGAGTGTGCGGGTCAGTGTGGCCACGACCGGCCGCACAGGCCGTGCCAAGCTCCGCCGGCGTGGCAGCAGCTAGGCAGCGCCACCATGCACGGCCTTTCTCGCGCCTTTGCTAGCACATTGGCCGACGCCGGTGCGCATCGATCGCATCTGCTGTCGCTCGCCGCCAAGATTGCTGGCCTTTGAGGCTGGCGCAACGGAACGCCAGCAGCGAGGCTGGGCTGCCACTGAGCGGCGCGGCGCGACGGTGAGGCCAGCCAGAAGACGAGCATAACCCCGCCGCTGCGGCAAATCAGAGGCAGCCACTTGCGGGTCCGGTTTTGTTTGCCTCGCCCGGTCGGTCGGCTTTCTCGCGCATGTATATGCGATGGGACTGGCCCCGACGGTTTACGCCGGCGGCCCCCGCCGAATGTCACGAGGAGACAAAAGAATTCGTCCCAAAAAAATTAAAGAACCAAGGCGCTCTCAACGAAAAAAGATCTCGGTGCCGATCGGCTTCGCGTCGCGGACGTACGCAGACTGGCTCCGCGCGTACATGCGCCACCGAGAGGTGTCCAGGCTTGATGGAGCTGCTCCCGTCGCTGCTCTTCAACCTTGCCCTCGCTGGAACCCTCCTCTCTCTGCTCGCCTGGCTCCTCAAGCCCGTGCTGCCGTTTCTCAGAGAGTCGATCCAGCACGCTGCGTTTGCTGTGTGTGCAGCGTGTGTCGATGCTCTCTCCCGCCTTATCGCCGCAGTCATCACGCACCCCGCGATGGCGGCCGCGCTGAACGACATCATCACCGACGCCATCGTCCAAGGGGTGCGTATCGCCGGCCATGCCCGCCGGACTCACACCGCCCACCCGCTGGACTCACAGATGTTGACAAGAACAAGACACTTTCGCATAGGACGACAGTGAGGCTGTGAGAGACAGGCCCTCACACTGCCATACCGCTCAACGCCGGTAGTCCGCGTCGGCAAAATTCGCTGCCCCGCCTCGAGGCGCACCTGGCCCGACGCCGACAGGTGCAAGAGACGATGGTGGACGCAAAGACCCCGGAATGCGCGCGCGCCGCCTACATGGCAACGATGCCCAGGGTTCCAGCTTACCACGCCGGCAAGCATGCGCCAGCTCAAGCATGTCGCTTCTTTAGCGGCCTGCTGCGCGGCACTCTGCCGTGCTTTCACTTTTTGGACCAGCAGGCGCCTGCGGCTCGTCAGCGACGGCCGTCCGTCCCCTCAAGCCTCCGAGCCATGCCTCCCGCGCGCCAGGTGGGAAGGCACTCCCACGAGCCTGGCCGGCCTGCGCTGGGCAACGACATGGTCGACGACCTCCGCATCGAGAGCGACTTTCGGCAGCAGGCGCAGGCGCGGCTCGACGAGCTGTCCGCCGAAGTCAAGATGATGCGGGTGAGCTCGATGGGCGCGGCCACGTTCGAGGAGAGGATGGAGGCGGTGCTATCGCCAACGCGCGATCCGCGCGTCCACCCGCCGCGGCCGCACCTGACCCCGCTCGACGTGGGGCCGGAGTCGCCGCGCCGGGGAACCGCGCCCGCCGCGTTTGGCGCTTACTCGTACGATTGCTAGCGGGCCAGGGCGCTTCTCGTTGACTGGGCGACTTTGAGGGAGGCCCCGGCGGCGTGTAAGTACGGAGGTCTGTGGGAGTTATGTTTAAAAGTTAGCGCAGCTCCCTTTTTGCGAATGGAGAGCTGGCCGCAGGCATCCATGCGTGCGAGTGGCTGAGCGCGCCCTGGTGTGTGTCGAGGTGGCGGTGTCGCGAGGCCCGGCGGGGTGTCGAGCTCGAGGGTGTTGAGCTGCTGTCGAGGGATAGAGGTGTCGAGCCCTGTCGAGGGGAGTCGACGGGAGTCGAGGGGAGTCGAGGGTGTCGAGGGTGTCGAGTTGGCACTGATTTTGGTGTCGACCATAAATTCTCGCCACTGGAACACATGCTACTTACAGCTGGGGTGTCGAGGGTGTCGATTTTTGGTGTCGAGGTGACTGAGTGCAGTCAGTGTCGAGGTTTCGTGGTGTCGAGGAAGTTGTCGAGGTGTCGTGTGTCGAGGCCAGGTTTCAGGCGAGTGGCTACTTTTGTCGTTGTATGTGTGGCTGTTTGTGGCCCCGGAAAAGCTGACACTCTCTCCAACCCGAGAGAGAGGGGAACGTGACGGCCGTCAAAACTTATCCACCCCGTTTGGCGACGCGGAGACCTTGGCGGAGGGGGTTGAAACTACGCCAACGGACCCCGCGAGACCGAGAGTAACTGTGAAGTCAGGGGTTGTGAACTGTCTTTGTTTTCTGGCCTGGGTTGTTTTTTTGCGTGATGTGTGCCGTCCGACTAAAGAACGACAAAACCAGAACAAAACAACACAAGTTATGTCACAAGAGAGAAAGAAAGAAAACAGAGAGCCCAAGGGAGCGATGGGACGGCATGCCGCCACCACACGCCGTCCGACTGCCGCGCTCGATTTCTTCAAACTCGAGTTGGCGGCTTATCTCCCGCCTTTGAGTTCGGCCGGGGGAGCTGGTGTTGCTAGCAATGCCAACGAGAGCCAGACGGGCGAGCAGGTACAAGCAGGCGAAGGCTGCCACTGCCCGGAGCCGGCTCGCCGAGGGGAGTGCCGTCCGCCGCGTGCTCGCCGGGCCGCCTGACATCTTGCAGCACATGATACAGAGTGGCGGCGCCTTGGTGTGCGGGCGTTGGAGCGCAGTTTGCAAGGCGACTCGCGCCGCGAGCGCAGACGGGCTTCGCGTCCTCGCGGGCGCCGAGCTTGCAGGGCGAAGCTGGGAGAGGTGCCTGGACGCGAGCGACATCTACGCCGAGTGCGAGGCTCGCGATGGGCTCACGCTGCCGCCGGTCCGCCTCCTCAAGAGCTCGTGGCTGCTCGCGCGCGCACGCGACATCAAGTCCGCCTCTCCCGGGCGCACCCCCGCCCTCTCTCTCCCCTCGAGGCGGGATCTAGAGGCGAGACACCCCGACGCCTTCTACACGCCGGAGGAGGTGCGCGCCCTGCGGCGGGGGCCCGCCCTTTCAGGGCGAGCCCTGTCGGTCGTGGTCCTCAGCCACCGCCGCGCGCCTGGCGCGCACCCTGACCGCGTCGGCGCAGCGATCGTCCGGCTGTGCGACGCGATGCACGCGGCGATGACTACCGCCGTCGCCGACTCACAGTGCGCGCGCCCCCCCCTGGCTGCCTGGCAACGCGCCTGTGAGTAAGGCATTCGAAAGTGAGCGGCTCGACGTCTCCAGGTACACGTGGAAGACCCTTCCGGGCGAGGTTGCCGTCTACTACGACTGGTGCAGCCTCTACCACGAGACGCCCTCCCGGCCGCGCACGAGCGAGGAGGAGGCGCGGCCACCCTCGCCACTTGCAGTAGCTCTAGCTGGGCGTGTGCACAAGCCTCTCGGTACGGCAGAGAGCTTGATGCTTGTGCCTTCACCTAGGCGGCCTTCTCCGCCGCGCGCAGCCGGCGGCTGATGTGGTGCGCGTAGACACGCTGACGATGCGTCTCCCTCTGCTGGACCCTTCCGCGAAGCGTCTCGGAACCTCCGCACAGGTACGCGCACGCGCTGACGACCTGCTTCTTCCTCTTCGCTCCGGGTCCGCCCCTCGCCGAGCAGCGACGCGTGAGCGACGCCCCGCGAGGCCCGGCGAGGGGGTGTGGCGCGGAGGAGAGGGCGAGTCGATCGAGCCGCTGCATAGGTGAGCGAGGCGCTGGGCGAGACCCTGTTTCAGCCGTGCTGCGAGCCGTCGGGCCTGGCCCCGCCCGCCCCGCTCGAGGTGTGTGTGTGGGCTGGCTCGAGGAGAAGAGACATGCGTCTCTCCCGCACATGGCACGTCCCTGAAGACGGGCGGGGCGTGTCCGCAGGACGGCTGGTTCGAGGCCGAGTTCCACGCGGCCACGCTCGCAAAGTCGTGCCGCCTAGAGCGGCAGAGCGGCAGATCACAGCACACCTTCGCGTCGTACTCCCGCGCGCGAGGACTAGGGGAGGGATGGACTAGGGGAGGGATGGACTGCAGGGGAGGGATGGGCTCGGGGAGCTCCGACTCCGGTTCCCCATTGGGTCTCCATTGGTTCACTGCACGCGCCAGGTCGTGGACCTCGAGCGGGTGGCAGCAAGTCTACGACGTCGGCGGAGAGACCGAGGAGCGGGAGGGGCAGAGGCCCGCGTCTCGCCACACTGCGCTACCCGGCAACCGCCCCCTCTGCTCTTGAGTACGCGTAGGAGCGGGGGGAGGGAGGCCGCGTCAAGCTCTTCGCACGGCGACCGCCCATCGGCCCGGCCGAGCTCCACGGGCTGCTCTCCTCGCGGAAGTTCGCCGACGCCGCAGACGCCGAGCTGGCCACTTCTACCCGCGCCGTGTGCGAGGCCGCCCTCCCGAGAGGCGGCTCTTCACCGCTACGGCCGTGATCAGGCCACTTTCCTCTACGCCAAGACGGCGGTGACGACCCTCCGCAGCGCGACGCGGCTGCGGTCCCACGGCGGTGGGTTGTGGCTCGGTGTGAAAGAGAGGCTGTTCACGCCGGCAGGTCCCGTGAACAGGTCCTCACTCGAGCGGCGTGCGCTCTGCTCCTCGCCCGCGAGCGGCGTCTCCTTATACCTGTGGCTGTGAACACTGCAGGTTCAACTCGAGCGGATGGGGGCCCGCGCAGCTGCAGCGCTTCATCGGCCTCTGGCTTCCAGACTGCGAACGTCTGGAGACGATCTCGTTCGCGTCCAACCCGATCGGGCCGGAGGGCGCGCGAGATCAGCCGAGATCACACCCGAGATCAGCCGAGATCGCACCCGAGGTCTCCACGTCCAAAGAGAGTCCGCACAGCCGGGGTGCAGGAGGGGCGCGGAGAGGTGCACTCGCCAGCCCGCCCCCGGGGGAAGGAGCCTGCTGGCCTGCTCGGAGCCTTCCCAGAGCCTTCCCAGAGCCTTCCCGTGTACTTCCCGTGTAGGGGCGGCGATGCTGTGCGACTCGCTGCGCCTCGGCCACTGCCCGCTCGCCGAGGCCCTCAACTTCTTCAACAACCAGATCGGCGACGAGGGCCTCGTGCACGTGGCATCCCTTCTCAAGGTGCGGCACCGGGCGCCCTGCAGCCTCCCTGCAGCCTGTGCACGCGCTGTCCTGAGAATGCCTCATCATGGGGCGTGGGGATGTGCGAGGGTGGTGTGCCCTTGGCCCCTCTTAATCCCCCTCCCCTCCCAGGAGCGCGAGGCGCGGCGGGCGCTCGAGCGCCAACGGCACGAGCTGCGCTTCGAGCAGGCGCGGATCGAGGAGCGGCTCGTCGACCACGCCCTGGAGGCGCGCATCGCGCAGCTCAAGGGCAGGCCCGCTGTCCTGGACATTGGGGGCGCGGCGGAAGAGGCGCGCGTCGGTACGCCGAAGTGGTGGGCGGACATCGAGAAGACGGCGGCGGGCAAGGCGGCGGGCAAGGCGGCCGAGTATGCACACGAGATGCTGGCGCCGGCCGAGGTGCTCGTGCCGGAGTCTCGGCCGGCGTCCCCCACGAGCACAGAGGAGCGCTGGAGCGACGCCGCAGCTGGAGACTTGGAACAACTGCGGCTTGTGCGGGAGGAGGCGGCGAGGCTCGAGCGCCGGAGGCCGGCCCCGCCGATCCTGCCCCGCCTCGCCAAAGTGCGCGTCGGGCGGAACGGCATCTCCCACAAGGAGATGCAGGCCTTCAAAGCACTGTGCGGAAGGCTCGGCATCACGTGCGAGGCATAGGTAAAATTGCATGCTTGGTTGTAATATGCGTGAGATTTTCACAGGGCGGACGCTCTCTCGACAGCTGCTCGACAGAGCACAGATACGACAGAGCCCATCATTGTACATTGACAATGATAATACGTATTGATATGACATATGTGTCTCCCGCGCGCGCGTATGTGTGATTCATTCGACATCTCTTAGTCTTAAAGCCGTACTAGCACGGTGTACCACATACCAGCTGCCACACTAATACCAGGCTGCAAACCTCGCAGGAGAACGAACGCTCTGGCCCCCTTTATTCCAGCACCCAGCACGCGCAAGTCCAAGTGCTGATCTGCTGTGCCCTGTGCACCATCCACCAAGGACCCCAGGGGGGTGCTCACGGGCCTGCGCGTCGCTGAGCCGTGCTCCATCTCGGTTGCTACCACCCACGAGCTCTGAACGCCAACGGGACGAGTCCATGACACGTCTGCGATACGTCCGCAGGTTGCCGCCACCCACGAGCTGCTCACCCACCTGCTCCTCGCGCTAATGCACAACGTTGGCGGGGCGGACGCGGGGCGGCAGGCGCGCGAGCTCTCCTACCTCTGCGGCGAGCCTCATTTCCGCGCAATTGCCGGGATCGTTGGCCACGGTGCCAACCGGCAGGCCGACTCGAAGACCGGCCGCGCCCTCCGCGCCGAGGGCCGTCGCTGGGCGCAGCACGTGCTCGAGTCGCCATACTCATGGATCCTCTCGACCCTTTACATCTTTGGAACCATCCTGGCAGGAGCGACGCCGCTGGCCGCGGTGCACGCCGCCATTGCGTCCGGCAACGAGGACGAGCCGGCGGCAGTCGCCGCCCTCTACCTGATCCGCATCGTGGATGCGATGGTGTATGCGCTTTTGCCGTGGTGGACCACGGTGGTGGTACGGCTCGTGCAGGGGCGGCCTTGGCTGCACCGGGTGGCCGGCCGGGTGGTGCTGATAGCGGACCTGCCCTATGTGAGCCAATGCGCCGAGGCCTTCCTCTCGAAGCTGTTTGCGCTCTCCTACTCCGCCACCGCCATCACCGTCTTCAGCGCCAACCCTCAGGATCATCTCACGCACCGCCACACGCACCGCATCGTGCGCGGCCTGCTTCTCGCCACGGGGCGGCCGGACGGGCGGTTGTCGGCGCTCGCGGCGGTCGAATCAAGCTCGCTCCTCTCGATCAAGCAGGCCTTCTCCATTCAGTCGCTCGGCGTGACGTGCGAGACCCTCACGCTCGGCCACAAGCACAACCCGTATAAGCTGCCGCGCGCACGAAATATCACGCTACCCACGAAGTGGCCCGAGTTTCTCTCGGAGCGACTGCTGGGACACCACCGGCCGATCCCCTCCTTGGTTGAGGGGCGGGACATGGACTCGTCGTACCACATGCAGCGCGCGGGTTCGGCGCTTCGGCCCCCGCGGCGGACGAGCCCACCGAGGACCTCAAAGTGCCAGATGTGATCGGCAAGCTCGAAGGGAGGCCGTCACCCGGCGCCATGGACGGGTACTATTCATGGCTTGGGTCCCTGCCGCGCGTGCCGGGCGCCGTGCTCCGCCTAATCCACGGGAGGGAGCCCGACGGCGAGGTCGCCGGCGCCAGCCTCTCCGGCGTTGCTCTCGAGCCCTCGTCGCCTGGCGTTCATCAACAGATGGCTCTGACGCCGGCGGAGCTGCTCGCACAGCAGCGCACTCTCGAGGTGCTCTATGAGACCCGCGTCGCTTCCCTGGAGCGTCTGGTAGGCTTCTTTGTTGTCTTCCACACCATGGCGAAGGCGGTAGAGCAGTTCTGGTCGCTCGTCTCCTTCCGCGGCTCCTCGCGTACGACTGTTCACGGACCCAATCGAGGCTGCGGGTCGCCTCGACTGCCTCGCCCGTGTCCGTGGTCCGATGGGACATCGGTGATGACTCCAATCTCCATGACGTTCGATGACAAGAGTCAGAGAGATATACGTCGTGGAGAGAGCCGTGTAAAGTCTAAAGAGGGGGACGGTGCGTGAGACTGAGAGACCGCAGCACTTTTTTACGAGCCATCTCCCCATACAACGGTGCGCAGTGTTCCTACACACCCACCGTCCCTGGCTCAGACATATGCGATATGGCAGGGACGGTGCGGTGCGACCATACCGTGTGTCTTAGAGCCGAGCCGAGCCACCCCGCCCCGCGCGCGCTCAGCCCGTCTGTCCCTCCTCCCGAGCGAGGAACTCGCGGGTGTGCCCACGCAACTCGGCCGCCTGCGCCTCGGTGAGCTCGCCCGAGCGGCTCACCTTGGGGAGCAGCTCTGGCGCCGCGGCGGAGACGGCGGCGAGGAGGTCACGAAGCAGCTGGTCGGTCGCCGCGGCGTCGCGCGTGTGCACCGCCTCGTCGAGGAGCCCGTCCGTGGCGGCGGAGAGCAGTGCGACCTGCGCCCAGAGAAGAGAGGAGCGGGGCGTCAGAGCAGGGGTGGCGTCCGCGATCAGCACAGTGACGCTCCTCACGCGGCGCTCGAACACACACACACACACACACACACACACACACACACACGCACGCACGCACGCACACACACACACACACACACACACACACACACACACACGCACCCGCACGCACGCACACACACACACACACACACACACACACACACACACACACACACACACACACACACGCACACACACACACACGCACACACACACGCACACACACGCGGACGCACACACACACACACACACACGCACACACGCACACACACACACACACACACACACACACACACGCACACACACACACGCACACACACACGCACACACACACGCACACACACGCGGACGCACAGAACGCAAGCACCCCGATGAGACGGCGCCTGCTCCCCCAAGCTGACGGGAGTGGTGTCGGGCTGCTGCAGCACGGAGATGCACGCGTCCGCGCGGATGCGCTGCGCGGGCTCGCACGCCACCGGGTCGGCCGCCGAGGCGAGCTCCAACCTGTGGGACGTGTCGTGGGCGTGTCATGGACGCGTCCTTACCACCGGGGTGGCCGCCGAGGCGAGCGCGAACCGGAGCGCGCGCGTCACGGCGCGCATGGCCGCAGAGCTCGCCTAGGCGACGCAGAGCGGGCGAGTGACCCGACGTGCCGCCGCCGGCCACACCGCCGCCCAGCGCGCCGTTGGCCGCAATTTCGTCGACCCGACGCCGATCCGCGTGAGCGACTGCGTGGGGTCGATCGGCGGCGAGCGGCCGGCGGCGGCGAGCGGCTCGGAGAGCTCGATGTGGCCGTCGACGAGCGATGTGAGCTCCTCGACGTGCGCGCCGGCCGCCCGGCCGCCGTCTGCGCGCGGGTGGCCCGAGCCCGGCGCGGGGATGCCTGCAGGAGGGCTCCGAGAAAGTTCCGGGACGCCCTGCGCGCGGGTGGGCTGCGGCCCGAGCCCTAAGGGTGCTGCCGAGCTTCTCGAGGACGGGGGGCGTGAGGGCGATGCCCTTGGCCTCGAGGGCGCGGAGCCGTCCGAGCGCGCGCTGCGAGAAGCCGGCCGCCTCGAAATCGCCGAGCGCAAAGGCGTCCGACGCGGCCGCGCCTTGAGCGACAGTTCCGGGAAGGATCAGAGGAGGCTCGGAGAGGGTTGAAAGCGTCTCCGGCGCGGCCGCGCCCGACGCGCGGACAGAAGGCGACGGCTGCAGCAGCAGCAGAGTCACCGACTCGCCCCCGAGGCGGCGGTGCGCCCGCTCGGTGAGGCAAGAGTAGAAGCCTCGCAGCATCGACCCCTCCTAAACAGCGGGTTGAAAGACGGTTCAGAAAGGCCCCGCACCAGCGGTTTGGCGCAAGCGCGGCCGCCGCCTCCTCGGGGCGCACGACCCGGCCGAGCTCCTCGCCGACCCGCACCTGTGGACCCACTCGCTGATTAGTTCACCAACTCAGCGCTGGACGGCCGACCTCGCTCGGCGCGCACCGCCGCCCGCCACAGCCGCAACAGCGGCGCCAAATCGTCGACAACGACCAACGCGTCTCCGCCCGCGCGCTGCGCCATCGAGCACGCCGCCTGCGCGGCGACGACGAGCTCCGCATCGCTCTCTGCAACCAGCAGCCGCGAGCCTACAGGAAGGTTCCGAGAAGGCTCACGGAAGGCTTCGGGCCGCGTCGCCCTCTGCAACCAGCGGCACGAGCCGTCGCCCCACTCGCTTCTCCGAGCGGCCTCGGCGCCCTCAGCGGTGGTGACGACGACACGCTTCACCTCGGGCGCAAACTGCGCCGCCCCGCTCAGCATGCGCGAGGCGAGTGCGGCGGAGCCAGAGGCGGAGGGCAGCGTCTCTGGAGCGAGCAGCAGCATCGACTGGCCGCGGCCGATCGGCGCCAGCGCATCTACCGCCGTGACACCGGTGTGGAGCGGCTTCCCGATCGGCACCCGCCTCGCCTGCGGCACCCGCTCCTCGAAGACCGCGCCGCCGCCGCCGCCGCGGCCAGCGGTTGCGAGCAGGCTGCGCACAGACATCTCGCCGGCCCAGGCCTCGTCCGGCGCGGGGAGGGGGAGCGTGAGGTTGCCGGCACCGCGCGAAGCCGCCTCGCCGAGCACGGCGGCCGGCCCACTGAGCTGCGTCGCGAAGGCGAGGCCGACGCGGCAGAAGAGCACGGCACCCACGCCGCCGTCTGCAAACGCGACTAGCGACCCGTCGGCCGGCTCGCAGCCGACCGGAGGCTCGAGCACGACGAGCTCGCCCTCGCGCCGGACAACGCTGCCGAGGGAGGTGGCGTCCTCGTCCAAGCCCGACGCGACGGCCGCCTCCCGCCGCGCCTCGAACGCGGTCGACTCGGCGTCGGAGGCGATCGCGAGCGGAGACAGCCGCACGCGCACCGGCGCCACACGGCCAAACGGCCGCACCGAGGGCGTGAGCTGGTGGCAGTGCGCCACGGCGAGCAGAAGAAGCAGGACACGGGCACGCATGTACATGCGCGCAACGTCGCGGGAGACGGAGCGAGCTGCTCCCGGAGGCTAAAAATAATGAGCGGGAATAGGACCGCCGCAAGCGGCGTGGCGTGGAGCGGTTGCGCATCCCTCCGGGGGCCCCTCTGCGCCGGGGAGGCGTTGTTGGAGGCTAGGACGCAAGCGTCCGTCGCCCTTTTCAAACTCGGGGCCCACTCCGCTAGGAACCGCTACGCTCCGACCCGACCGAATTTGGAGGGCCTAAAAGTTTAAGGTGTTGCTGCGCAAATGCTCAGCCGTTCATGGAGGCCGTCTCCGATCTGGAGGAGACGGGTCAACCCCGTGAGGACCAGATCACGAATCACGTGCGTCTCGTCGTTAGCCGGAGGGGATGTTGACACTGGCGTTGATGAGTACTCGAGTATGTACTTTCCTTGTGGCTGGTCTTCCTCGGTGTCGTGTGTGTGCCAAGTGCGCCGCCGTCATTTTCCACACATACCTAACCCATCGTTCCACCGCCCGGGCTCTGTCTATCTATCTGTCTGTCTGTCTGGACAGGGTGGCAGCCGCCAACGACCCCTGGAAACGATTCGCCGCTGAGCTCCCGCTGTGGTTTGCAGTGTGTGTGGCTCTTACGAACATACACACACACATACCCGAACGAAGGTGGATGGATGACTAACCACAGGGTTCGAGGATTTTGTAGAGGAGTGACTCTCTCTCTCTCTCTCTCTCTCTCTCTCTCTCTCTCTCTCTCTCTCTCTCTCTCTCTCTCGTTTGCCAACAACAATCCTCCAGCCTTAGAACAGAGAAGTAAAAGCCCCGTCGCTCGTTTTACTTCGCGCCCGCTTCGCCGGGGGCCGGCAGTTCAGATTGCGCGGCACTGCCGCGCTGCCTGCCATGCCCATGATGAGCATGGGCCCCGACGCTGATCACTATCAGTACGACCAGTGGCGCAGCATGCTCGCTCAAGGCGTCGGTCGCGACGTGGTGCGCTTTCGTCGCCGCTAGAATTCTGCATCGGCGGCGTCGTCAGACGTGAACCTGTGCTTAGGAAACGTGGCCTTACACCAAACACCAACAACCATCCTTCGTGCCGCAGAAGTGGGAGCATCCGTACGACCATTCGCCCCCTCCGTCGACTCCCCCACCTCCGTCTCTACCAGCTCCGCTGTACGGTGCTCAGCGGACCCGGCCCGCCTGACGCCCAACATCTTGCCCGTCCTCCAATCCCGTGTTCGTCCCACGCAGGCATCTTCAACCACACGTGCTTCGTCCCATGGGCGCACGCCGAAGCGGTGCGCCTGGCGCCGTCAGTCCCTCAAAACCCGTTTCTCTGACGCTCCTAGGAGGTCAACCACACCGGCTTCCTCGTGGATGTGCCCTTTGAGCTCCATAGCCACAGGCGCGCTCACAGAAGGCCGCCCGGCGCCGCTGCCATCCGCCCCAAATCGAGCGGGGTGGAGCGCCGCTTCGCAAGGCGTTGAGCCCGCCTCCGCAGGAGCTGTGGTGATACCGTCCTCCTCCTCGGCGGCCTCAGCCTCCTGTTTACCGCCTTCGCCCTGTTCTTCCTTCTCTCCCCTGCGAGACCCGCTCCCGCGGTGAACTTCGACGAGGCGCGCTCCCTGTGGCAGGAGGAGCCCAAGCAGCAGCGGTGCGGCGTGGCCTGCTGTAGCGGCGGTGGCTGCTCGCCGCCGTCCTGCTTGAGCAGATTCTCGTGCCACCCATGTGACTGCGTCCCAGCCCAGCAGCGCGACCTCTACAGTGCTGCAGGGGCCGAGATTGCCGAGTTCTGTGCCGGCCTTTTCGGGTGCTTGTGTGCACCCTGCGGCCGTGCTGCGGCTCTTCTTTCCCGCTGCTGGCAGAGCGTGGCTGGTTGGTGCAGCCGCTGCCGGGCGAGTTTCGCCAGGTGCCTCGCGGTGACCTTTTGCTGCAAGGGGCGCCGTCAATCTGCGCAACGCGGGCTCCCACAGTGGGCGGCGTCCAAGCCGTTCCCTCCTACCCCCGGCACAGCTGCACCCCCGTCTCCTCCGACGGACCCGACGACGGGGCTGACCCTCCCGTTGCCGTCGATGGTGTACATTCAGAAGAAGTGTAGGCAGTACGGCTATACGCAATTCCTCGTGTAGGCTGCACGCTCGGGACGAGCTTGAGGCATGCTATGTCCATGAGATAGCTAGGAGATAGAGAGCGAGAGATAGCGAGAGAGCGAGCGAGAGAGAGCGAGAGATGGGAGGACAGAGTCAGAGAGGGGGGGGGGAGAGTTGGAGAGAGAGAGAGAGAGAGAGAGAGAGAGAGAGAGAGAGAGAGAGAGAGAGAGAGAGAGAGAGAGAGAGAGAGAGAGAGAGAGAGAGAGAGAGAGAGAGAGAGAGAGAGAGAGAGAGAGAGAGAGAGAGAGAGAGAGAGAGAGAGAGAGAGAGAGAGAGAGAGAGAGAGAGAGAGAGAGAGAGAGAGAGAGAGAGAGAGAGGAGTGTCTGTCTAATGCACCGTGTACTGTGAATCCGCCTCAGCGCAGGACACCCCCCTCCTGAGCGCTGAGGGAGTGCTCTCGAGTGTGGGAGCAGCGGAGCTCAATTGTGTGTACGCAACGAGCAGCGCGATAAACGGGCAAAAGAGCACACAGAAATCGAACCCCCGCTCCCCGCGCTTCCGGATTTTTTATTTTGCATTGAAAGGAGGGCTCGCAGACGCGACCACCAACGGACCACAGCGCGGCTCCCGCTCAACAATCATGGACCTGCGTTGCCTCAAGTGCTTCACCGCCACCGAGCCGAAGCCTCTTGAGGACGCTACGAAGCTGCCGTACTCGCTGTCTGAGGGTGATACTGTGGCTGCGCCAGAACCGGAGAAGCCAGTCTTCATAATCCCGTCCCCGAGGAAGCCAACGCTCGAGCCTGCGCCGCTCGAGGATGCAACCAATGACAATGTCGTCAGCAACGCCCAGCGCTATGCCCAGGACGCCTGGGAGCGCGCTCAGGCTGCTGCGAGCATGCGGCGCAAGCAGTCTTCGGCATCGCTTTGAGAGCCTCGCGTTGTCGCGTTGCTGTTGGCTTGAACGTTGGGTTGGGGATGTGTCTAGTGGGCGTCAGCAAGTGTCAGCCGGGAAAAATTCAGAACGCAGAGCAGGTAGCGTAGAGCAGGCAGCGTTCTCACAAGTCAGAGATCAGCATGAGTCTGACGCCCCACATTGCGCATAAAGCTCATGACTCATATGTTTGATTTTGTGTCTCGTCCGTGACCAGAGACCACAGCTCTCGCAGCTGACGTGTCTCGTGTGGGCTGTGGCGTCACTAGTCTTTAGTTGAGGTGCTCCAATCGTTCTTGTATTCAGCACGCCACAGTCAAATTCACAACACTCCCGGCTTTAGAAAGTACACGCACAAGTGGGCGACGACAGGCCTGCTCTCTCACGTGCGCTGCGGCGACGCCTCTGGTGCGGACGATCTCTTCTAGACCGGATCGTACACGCACGCGTCGGCCCGCGCTCTCACGGCCCGAACTCGGCCGCCCTCCTCCTCCGCGCCGCCTTCCTCCGCCACAGCCGCTGCGTCGCCTGCAGCCGGAAGCGGACGAGGCCTCTCCGGCGGCCGGGCCGAGAGAGCGACTCCTCGAGCCGCTCGAGTGTGTCTGCCTCGGCCGCCTGCCGGGCGCGCGGGGGGGTAAGGGGGGTGGGACTGGAGAGGCGGCGCGGCCCCTCGCCCGCTGTGGCTGGGGCCCGGGGGAGGAGCGAGAGAGGCGGCGGCGGCAGAGGAGGGGGAGGGGGGGGGGGTTCTGTGGAGTGTGCAGGGGCGCTTGCGGGGTGCGCCGCGCCTCCCGCTCGGCAGCCGCCTGCAGCAGCAGCTCGCGCTGAAGGCCCGCCGCCTCCACAGCCCGCCCCTGCCGCGCCCTCACCAGCAGCCGCTGCAGCACGTGGCCCCGCTCCATCTCTCCGATCACCTCGTCGGGCCGGAGCCAGAGGCAGTGCCGCGCGGTGGCACCCTCGGACGCGGTGTGGTCGACGGCGCTGAGCCGAGCCTGCAACGCGAGGGGCGGACCGGTCGCGCGCGCGCAGGTCAGCCGCTGTGGCCGCGGCCGCGGGGAGGGCTGGCGCGAGCGTGCGCCTCATGCACGAAGGGAACCTCGAGCAGGAAGGTGACGTAGCGCCCCGAGCGCTTGAGGACGCGCGCGGGGCTCTCGCGACGCAGCCGCGAGGCGAGCGCCTCTGCCGAGCCAAATACTGACCCCGTCTCCTCGGCCAGTTCGCGGGCAGCGGTGTAGTAGGCGTCGACGTCGTCCTCCTCGCGCTTCCCCCCAAAGTCGGAGAGGAGGCCGGCGCGCGTGCCGTTCTCGTGCGACTGCATGAGATAATAGACGCCGTCGCGGCGGCGCATGAACGGAATCACGCCAGCCGCGGCGACATCGACACCAGCGATCTGGAACCCCGTCGGCGCCGCGGGCGGCTCCTGGCGCATACACACGCGCATGGGCGGCCGTCGCGGTGGGCTGCCGTACAGCGCTGTCGAGGGCAGGAGCGCCGCGGAGGCGAGCGCCGCCAGCGCGGCGAGCGCGACCATTCGTCCGGTGTCCAGCCTCTGGCCTGCAGCGCACCCAGCTTGTCCCGCCCAGTCGTGGGCGAGAAGGTGTCGACAACGGCGCCAGTGATCGCCGCGAATTCTTTTCCATTTTCCCCCCAAAACAAAACGGGGGGAAATTCCATTTTTTCAGCGACGTATCTTCATCGATTTCCTAATTTCTTCTCTCTCGCCCGTCCGTCACGAATCGGCGCAGCCTCAGCTCACACGAGGTCCAGCGGCGGCGGCTTCGGCCTTCCGCCCGCCGGTGGCCCGGGCCCGCCGCCGCTCTGCTGCTTCGCGCTCCCCTCCGCGCCGCCGCCCCCCGCGCCCCCGACACTCGGGCTGCCGCCGCCCGCCTCGCCGCATGGGCAGTCGGACAGGCACCCGGACAGGAGCATGGCCGAGGGCGAGCCGAGCGCTGCGGCGGAAGTGCGCCAGTCGATGTCGTGCACGACGCCGCGCACCTACCCGGAAGGCTCCGAGAAGGTGGAGCGAGAGGGGCGGGCGCGGGGGCGATGGTGAGGCGGTGCGGTGCGGTGCGGTCAGCGCGGTGCGGCAATACGGCTGGCGCGGTCACCTGCAGCCACCAGCGGGCGCGGAGCAGCGAGGGCGGCAGCATGCCCGCGCGTCCGCCCTCGACCCACGCGGACAGGGCGAGCAGGAGCAGCTCCACGGCGAGCGCCTGCGGGGCAGGGAGAGGAGGAGGAGGGGGGTGCGAGATAGCACAAGGGGTTTGATCAGGGGCGGCGCCGCCGCACCAGAGGCACAAAGACGAGTGCGACGAGGAACACGGGCAAGCAGCAGCAGTACGCCTGTGTGCCGGGGACGGTCCTGTGGCGTGGGGGAGAGAGTGCTGGCGCTGCCGGCTTTGCGAGCTTGCGTGAGCTCTCCTCCGCAACGCAGGCGGCGCAGCGGTCAGAGAGCAGCCGCTGCGCCAGCAGGAGCGCGCCGCTCGTGCCCGGCGGCAAGCCGCTGCCGCCGCCGCCGCCGCCGCCGCCGCCGGGCAGCTCGACCACAAACGAGCCGCCATGAGGCGTGTTGTGCGGCACGAGGACGGTGAAGGTTCCGAGCCGCGGGTGCGTGATCTGGATCGGCTGGCCGGGCACGCCGGGCGGCACCCCAATCTCGATGCGCTCCGGCATCGTCAGATTCGACGGCGCGCCGCCGCCAAACAAGCTCCCCAGCTCGGCGCCAAACACCGGAGCCTGGTTGACGGGCCGGCCCTGGTAGGCGTCGACCCCCGCGCGGAGGGTCGAGCAGTAGTGCCGCACCGACTCGCTCACGCGGCGGTGTGAGCCCGCGGCCCACTTCGGCACGATCATCAGCAGGGCGAAGACGCCGGCGAAGCAGGCGCCGAGCAAGAGGCCGGGAAGGACGAGCAGAAGGCCACCTGCGGTCCGAGCAGCCGCAGGGAGCTCCGCGACGCAGCGGCTGGCGGAGCGGCCGAGCGAGCGGCCGAGCTCGTCGCAGGAGGAGAGGAGGTAGAGGCACATCGGCGCTATCGAATCTGCTGCTGCTTGACGCCTGTGGCGTGTCTGCTGGGGGCCGCCGGACCGATAGACGGGAACGCGCTTTTTCTTTTGTGTCACTTATCTGTGAGCTGTCGTGATCATCTGTCTCGCGTCCACCCATACCGCGTTGGTGTCCAGTCCGAGCCTGGCTGTTCTTCACCTTCCTTCCTACCTACCTGTGAGAGTGTTGTTGTTGTTGTTAGGTATCTCGCGAATACTTGATTTTTCACGCCGTCTTGAGCACTTGAGCACTGGATAGGGTCGGTTCCGCATGGTACGGGACCCCTCGATCGTCTCGCCCACCCTCACTGGTGTGTTCATTGGGGGGGGTCATAACAAACACGGTACAGGATCGAGGTGCACGCTGCCGAGGCAGTGTCGTCCCCCCTCTCCCCGACGGCGATGGCGGTGTGACCGATCGAGCTAACAATCGTGTTCAAGCGGCCCTCCTGTGAGCTGGTACACCAAGAATGGCTTACCACTGCCAGGGGCCACACTGTGGCAAGCTGTGGTGAGCGTGGTTTGGCTTGTGCAGCCCATACGGACGTGGTATATACACATATATGCGGCCACGTGTCGGCCGGTTCGGGGCACGAATTCCGGATTTTTCCACGGCCTAACAATCGTTGCTGTAGTGGCGCCAATGGCCGCCTCCCGTCGCGCCATTGGCACCCTAGCCAGCAGTAGCACCGGAGGCAACACCACCAAGCCCACAAGTCACAAGAGTGACGGAGATGCTTGCCACGAGCACCGTGACGCCCGACCCTGTGAGCACCGTGGGCGTATACGGCTGCATACGGTGAGATGATGCACAGCATGGCCAGACAAGGGATGCAAGGCTCGCCAGCTGTATGTTAGTGAGGTATATAGATGTGATCAACATGTGTGCGTCACAGGTACGCGCAGCAGCGCATGTAGCCGCTGATATCGAAGACAGCGCAAACAGGTCTTTTTGCGCCACGCACCCGATGGCCGTGCTGGTCCAACTTCGTGCACAGGAATGGTATCAGCGCGTCTCCGCCATAACTGGACATGGCAATGAAGCAGCTGAGACGTGACAACACCGGTGCTGGGCCAAGGAGGTGCCGCTCACCGCCGATTGTTAGGACTGTCGTCGAAAAGGCGAGCGGCGGTCGCCGGGCAGCAGCTCGTGGCGATCGTCGATCCGCGAGCTGCCAAGCTTGTCACAGGCCGGCACTGGATCGAGGACGATGGCGCCGCGCGGCTGGAGGCAACGGAGAAAGGCATTGTGGAGCGGCGAGGCGATTGTTAGGAATTTCGAGGCGCGGAAAAATCCGATCGCCTGGAAAAATCAAGTATTCGCGAGACACGCTGTTTGTTAGCAGAACACGACACAGAGCTCACACAGAATCACAGCGGGAGGAAAGCGGCGAGTCGCAATTCCAGGGGTCGTTGTGGCGGGCCACCCTGTGCGCTGTGGTCCAGAAAGAAAGGCATGGATCCCAATCTGGGGTCTTTCGACCGAGTCTGATTTCGCCCTAGATTTCGCCTCGCCGCCTCCCGATGGTGGTAAGCGTAAGGCTGGAGAGCCAAACAAAGCGGCGGAGATGGCGGAGGAGGGCGGGGGATCGAGGAAAGACTCGCACCGACGACCGACCCTTCAGCTTCACGAACCGAAAGGCTGCACGCCCGGGAAGCACAGTAATTCGGCACACGTTAAACACCCCATTCATTTGGCGGCTAGGCGCGGCTCAGGGCCCCGTCCACGTTCCCTCCCACTTGGCGCGTGATGGTGTGGGGATGTCGCCCCCAGGCCAGCCAGGGCAGGGGTGGAGGGCGAGGGCGGAGGGCGGGATGGGCGCCAAGCGGGAGGGGGCGAATGGAGTGGAATGCACAGATGGGGGATGGCGAAGGCGGAGGGCGGGAAGGGGGAGGGCGGCGGGAGGGCGGAGGTCGGCATGGGCGGGCGGTGGGTGGTTCGGTAGGGCGGGGGGGAGGGCGAGGGGTGGAGGAGGAGGGCGGTGCCGGTGGGGGCGAGGGGCGGCGAAGGTCGTACTCGAGTACCGGGCTTTCTCTTCTCATCATCGCTGTCGTGGGATCGCTTGTCATGTGAGAGAGTGCGTTGTGTTTGCGCTGCCGTCTCTCTTCTTCGTTAGTGCCAGTGCGCGCCAGTCCCGTGCCCAGTGTCGCCCAGCGAGTTTTCTTGCGGAACCCTCATTTTCGGGCGCGGACGGGCTGCACGACGATTAGGTATCCAAGGCAGGTCCGCCCCCAGGACGCGCATGTCGGTTCGCCGCTGCACGCGCTGCGAGCGCCTCTACTCGGACGGCGAGGACGGCCAGTGCCGCTACCACCCCGGCCAGCATTACCGCCTCGGCTGGACCTGCTGCCGCGATCCGTCCTTCTCGGCGCCAGGCTGCCGCTTTGGCAGCCACGTCGAGGACCTAAACATGACTCGGGCGCTGGACGAGGTGCTCGCCTCCGCCCAGCCGGTCTGCCCGCCCGCCGCTCCCCTCGACAGCGCTAGCCGCGACTCCGACTCCGACTCGACGTCCGGCCCGGAGCCCGTAATTGTCTTCGAGGACCCGTCCGGAACCATGAGCGTGGCGAGCGTGGCGTGCGGGGGGGAGGAGCCGGCGGCCACGCCGCCGTCGCCGCATTGCCTCGAGAGCGTGCAGGCTGCGCCCGCCGCGGCCGCGGCCGATGGCGACGACGAGGAGGAGGCCAATGAGGAGCGGCGCGGCTGGTTCCTGGTGCCGTACCTGGTCGGGCCGCACGACTCGTTCAACGCGGTGAGCACGCAGCTCGACTCTCAGCGATCGGACGGCTCTCTCTCACGACCACACCGCGCGCCTCTCCAGGTGTGCATGCGGCACCGGATGGCGCCCGAGGAGCTCTCGCGCGTCAACAGCCTGCGGCACCGCTCCCTGCGGCCAGGCTCTACCGTGCTGGTGTGGGCCGAGCGGTCTGAGACGGAGGTGCGAGCGAGGGCCTGCACTACTCATGGCCGTGGGACCCCTGCCCGCCTTGGGACGATGCGGCGGAGATGTGTACCAGCCCCAGCCTGCGTCTTCCCCACCTTGCCGCCGCCGCAGCTGCGGGGAGGAGCGAGCGACGAGCCTCGGCACTACGAATGAATGGCTGGTCGCGAGTTGGCGGTAGGTGCGCGAGGCGGAGCGCGCGACGACCCTCCTCTGCTTCCGCCGGCAGCACTCCTGCTCGGTGGGCGAGGCGCCCCGCCGCCTCTCGAGCTTGTACGAGCAGTACGCATGGTGAGTGGAGCAGCGTCTTCTTCTGCTGAGCAGGCGCGCTACTACCTCGAGCTACACGAGTACGACGTCGAGCGCGCGATTCAGCAGCGGCGAGACGACCTCGACTGGGAGGAGCGGCGCGGCCGCGAGGCTGACGTCGACGCGCCCCTCTCTCCCGCCACCGAACAGCTCTCGGTGCCCCGTCGCCTGTAGAGACCTGTCCTCCCTCGCTGCCCACTCCCGCACCACCGTCCTCACCATCCTACTCTCTGTCCTTGCCGCCGCCGCCCTTGGCTCGTCCGCTGACACGTCCCTGAAACCTCCGCTGACACCTCCGCTGACACCTCCGCAGGTGCCGCCTTCGCTTGGCGCGAACCTCGAGCGTCGCAACAGGCGGCTGGCCGTCACGGAGGTGCCGAGAGGGCGCCGAGAGGAGACGAGAGGGCGCCGAGAGGATACGAGAGGGTCCGAGATTGTGCTTTGCCGCCACAGAGAGGAGCAGGGGGCGAGCAGACGGCGTGC